CATCGTCCACAGGATTTGTTTCTTGTTATGCTCACCCCCTCTAGTGGTGGTAAGGTAACATTGCAAACTGAGGCTGCTCACTGACACAATCCTCAGGAGAGTGTTGATCACCATGACCAAGCAGTTGGATTTCATACTATATCATCACCAGTTTCCCAAAAATCTGATTAAAATAAATAAAAACATAACATTAAGACAAAAAAATGCAAATAAGGGGAACAAGTTTTAGTCATTGTTATTTTCTGTTCATTTGGTTAATTGTGTATCTATTGTAAGATATACATGTAAGATCTATTTTAAGATCTATTGTAAAATCTACTGTACTTCCTATTTCAGGTGTCCTTTTTTATATATAGGTATTTTATACAGAGCATAAAGGTAAAGAAAATATATCTAGAAGTAAAAATATTTGTCTCTCCCATGCAAACTCCACACAGAAAGGTCCTGGTTCCCCCGGGACTCAGACCCAGAACCCTCTGGTCCTGGTTCCCCCGGGACTCAGACCCAGAACCCTCTGGTCCTGGTTCCCCCGGGACTCAGACCCAGAACCCTCCTGCTGTGAGGGGATGGTGCTGACCATCACACCACTGTGCCACCCGGGGTGTAGACAACTTTACAAAAATAAACCACAGAAGAAGAAAATAAAGAGGACGGGCTCCTGTTTTCAAGATGTTTACAGTCAGGTATAAGAACTGTCAGAATTTGGGTATAGTTACTAATTTTAGCATTGTATGCTATGACATAATCCATGTAACTGTTACTCATTGTCTCATTCCTTTTTAGAACAATACCTTTGTGTTAAACTCTCTGGTTGTGCCCATAGATTCTCTTTTTCTCTCTCTGTTGCAGTAGATGCACGTCTTTAGGAAAACACACACACACACACACACACACTTTGTTACAACATTCCAATGTCATCTACATCATTTAGGAGCTGGCCTTTAGGTAACTGGCCAATGGGACTTGTTTGTTTCCAGTCGTCCTTTAGAAGGTGCAGGCCCAGCTCACAGGACTAAAATCCATCACACAAGAGTTCGGGGGTCTTGCTGGTTGAGACCCTCCGGGAGCTTTGTCTGTGAGAGCCCAGCATGATTACTTTACCTGTGTCCAATAAATGTCATTTTTGCACTCTTGATCTACTCTGGTTTATTCTCAGGCTTACAACTAAAGAATCCGGCTAACAGAACAATCTGATTAACAGAAGACATTTTGTGCAATTCTAACAAAATACAAATACAACCTGGTTACAAACACAAAAACGCCACGAGTAAAATTCCGCGCAGGAACATGTCCCAACTAAAGTGTAGTGTCTGGAGCCATTTTGGATTTAAAACAAAAGAAGAGAAAGAGCTTGATAAAACCGAAGTGGTTTGCAAGACCTACTAAACTAAGGCCAGCTATTGTATAAAAATACTCCAAACCTAAAATAACCACTAGATAAGATCCCACTGCAACGTTACCTTCCAACTACAAGCTACAAGCAAAACAAAATAAACTGAAGAAATCACTGATATTCTTTACGGCTACATTTCTGCAGGCCATAATGATAAAAGAGTACATTGCAACTTTTGTTAGCAAAGTTTTATGTCCATACTCAACTGTGGAATACGAAGTATTCAAGTGGTTCATTCAGGTGCTCGAACCACTCTACGTAGGGTAGAGCGTGACTATCTACCTGAAAATGTTTTCCTCATGATACTTGTAAGTGTGCTTTACTTTCAACAGTCATACTGGACTGTGATTCACTGTATCAGTATATCTGTATAAGTGGTGCCTGGTACTACATTATTCTGCACTGGAAATTATTTAGGATTTAGTTATACATCTTTGTGAAATAATTAACATAAGCTATGGCTATAAACCTACCAATCTGAGGAATATTCTTGTACAGTATTTCATCTTTACCTGAGGCCTGGTGCGTTTGGCACTGCTATTGCATCTGAACTGGACTCTCTCCCTCCCTCGTAGTCGTGTGTTTTCTGGTCCCCCTTCTCTCTCTTCTCTCCTCCCAACACTTTCTGCAGATATTCCTGGCTCTGGAGCTGTGGGGTCTGGATCTGTGGTTGGGAGTTTACGGCTGTCCCCGTGTCCCCACTCTGCCACAATTACAACCACTGTTCATAGTCTTATAGCTATTATTACTGCTATCATTGTCATTAGTATCAATATCATTCACATTTTTCATCCAGTCTGTGTGTTTCTCTGCTCACTCTGTCCTTCTCTCTCTCTCTCTCTCTCTCTCTCTCTCTCTCTCTCTCTCTCTCTGTCTCTCTCTCTCTCTCTCTTTCCCTCACCCCCAACCGGCTGAGGCAGATGCCCCCCCACCCTGAGCCATGGTTGTGCTCCAGGTTTGTGCCTGTTAAAGGAAGTTGTTCCTTGCCTGTGTGGCCTAGTGCTGCTCATGGTGGGAATTGTTGGGTTTCTGTAAATAACTTCAGAGTAGGTCTGACCTGCTCTGTTTGGAAACATAACTGTTGTTGTGATGTGGTGCTATATAGATAAAATTGAATTTGAATTTGAATTGAAATATGAGCAGGATTTGGAACATGGTCAAACACTCATAGAGTCAAGGCAGCCGATTTAGGAATTATTAACCTTACAACTAGGTATGCTCACAGTTGATTTATGTCACATCTAGACATTATTAAGTCAATAATGCCTTATTAATTCAAAGTTAGGAATTCTCTTACCCCCCAAATTCATGCATTCCACAGGTTGGATGCACATCTACGTGACGCAAGGACACATGATGCAAAGACAAAGACAAAGAATGAAACAAAAATGTAGAAGAGGAAAGGAAACACCTTACTTATACATTAACATAATCTGCACCGTTGTTTAATTGGCAGTCGATGGGTTGGATGTCCCCGTAAGAGTTGTTTGCATTTCTTCGTAACCCTGCATTATGAGTGCATTCCTCTTCAGTGAACGCAGGATAACTCAGGTTCAACAAATCAACCTCCAGCTTCAGAGGACCGAGTAACTCCACTTCCAGATGCCCAACCCTGGTTTAGAGAGATGACCCTGGGTTACATCTGGGTAACTTAACCCCTCTTTGTAGTACAAATTGGCTCCTCTGTTAAGATACAGGCCCCTGGGTATCATAAAAGAGGAGGATGTGACGATTGCCCAAGATCTGGGGGGTGTCTTGAAACCAAATAAAGAGAATACTACACTGGTAATGTTGGGGAGCAACCGTGTCCTCATCGGCCACCTCTTGAGCTCCGTGGTGACAGACCTGAAGGCTGCAGTAAAATATTACTTGAGGACAAGGTATACTGTGTTCTTTTTGTATGTCTGAAATTGTATATTTGTATGCATGCCATGTTTATCCTCTTATGATTAAAATAATTTGTGAATTGTCTTTAAGTTATGGTGCGCGAAAACATATTTTTTGCCGCATCAGCGCTGGATCTTTGCTTTAAGGCCCTACCACCCCTGCCTGTTAAAAAGTGAGATGACACATTCTGCGGACTGCGGCTGCACATGATGTAAGGATTTAGGGAAAACAAAGATTTAGTTTAATAAGAATTTTTTAATTTAGACTAAAACGATTCCATATTGGATCATAGTGAATATTATATATTTCTAAAGACATCATGAATGTTTTTCAATCTATTTATATATTTCTGTTGCTTTCCCCTGTCACTTGTGAAGCTTTGTGTCCCTAGTGTCTCTGTGTCAGCAGTATTGCGTCGGCGAGGGTATTTTCAACTGCTGCTGATATTGTCACTGCAAAAAGAGCTACCGCCCCACATCATGTCAATGAGCTCCTTTTCCCGCACAAGAATCTGACAATTAGTGAGAAGTGACTGAGACCTCAGGCAGTTTTGTTGACAGTAAAGTTTAAACTGTCTAAAGGTAGTTTATGGTGAAGAGTAAAAATGATGCACATTCCTAAGACCAGATTGAATTTAATCAAATTGATTAATCGATTCAGAACCTAATGAATTGAAATGGAATCAATTTAGAGAAATTGGCCCCAATACCCAACTTTGTAAACAATTCTTCCTCTCTATAAAAAATCCTTTTTTCTCAGTGAAAATCTAAAACTTGTAATCTTTTGTATTCATTCTTCACACGCTACTTCTGAAGGGAGAAGTATCATCCGGTTTCTGAAGAGTGCAGACGTGTCACTGCTTGCTCATGCTGCTTTGTGCTCTTATTTGCCTTAAAATGATTTTTTTTTTTTTTTTTTTACAAGTTCTTTTTTTTTTAAACAATCCAAGTCATTTTAAATATTTTTTATCTTTTTTACAATTTATGTGACAAACAGTGAATACAATCCTCTTAATTAATCCAAATATGTATCTCTGTGAAAGCTGTCTGATAGATACCAACAAGAAATTCTTGCACTACTAAGAATTAGTCTAAAAATTTAAAAAGGGACTTCCTGACATGTCTCCTACGGAATAGTGATGGGAATTTACGTTTACTCCCAAAGGAATGGCTGAAAAACTGCTACCTACTATTTAGCAGTAGGGCAAAAAAAGTATTTAGTCAGCCAAATTATTGTGCATGTTTTCCTACTCAGAAAGATGAGAGAGGTCTGTGATTCTCATCACAGATACACTAAGAGAAGCAAAATGAAAAAGGACAAATCCAGGCAATCACATTGTAGGAATTTTTAAATAATTCATTTGTAAATTATGGTGGGAAATACGTATTCGATCAATGACAAAAGTTGAAATCAATACTTTGTAACATAACCTTTAAGCATTTGTTATTTCGGTCCCAGCTCCCAGCTTTTCCCATAACTACAGCACAGAATTAATGCAATTCTCGAGACAGGATTAATCTTTCTTGAACAAAATGTCTTTAAGGAGATCTGTTTCCACTACAGTAACTTTTGTTGTTTCCCCCAAATTACAATATATTTTCGTGAAAAAGTACAGGAAGGATAAAATAATAAACACTACAGACTGTTTATCTACGATGGAGGGCGCTATTACGAATAAAGTCTTACTCACAATCTAATTCCAACGAAGAAGACAGAATTCACCAATCAGATCCTGTGTATTGAAATCAATACGGAAGTTACGTTAAGGCGCCAATTTTGTGTTGTTTGCCTCAAAATACGTTATCTCTTGTATTGGATGAGACTGAAACTGTGAAAATGACTGAAAACACTTTCCCTGTCTATAACGTGGATGCGATAGTGAACTTTTACCGAGCTGAAGTTCTCACTGGTCAAGAGTCCAAACACTTCACCAAGGGCGACCTGACTCCGGCTCCAAAGGTAGCGTCGGTTAACTTTTGCACACACAAAACACATCAAAAGAATGGTATTTTTTTTATATATGTAGTAAAAAGAACTGTAGATATATATTTTAAAAATGTGTAGGCTTTTACATTTCCGTTTTCTGAGTATTGTAAATTACGAGTTTTACACGCGTTTTATTTCGTAAGGTGGCTTCACTGACTACTTATGTAGGAAAACTATTTCAATTTAAAAATGTGTTATGTAACCTATTACTAAAAGCTAAATAAGAATACCAAGTTAGTGATGATGATTTATTGAGGGCTACCTCTTGATACTTTTAGTCTTCCAGGATATAACATCAAATGTTGGAAGTTTAGTAGAACATCCTAAAAATGATTAGTCGTTTTAAAATAGATCTAAGCAATTGGATTTTACTTTGACTTTATGGAATTAAAAATGTTGTAGTTTTTAGTAGATATTAGACATTAGTTTGTTTTGATTGTCACCTTAAAATTGCATTTAGGAAGTTAGAAAGGCATTTTATAATATCACACAGTTAGGACCAGTTGAACTTGAGCTAGAGTAGTGGTACTGTATTTGTCTTATTGACATTTTCAGACTATTTTTTCTCTGTGTTTCTTGGAAAATGAAAACTGAATTCTAAATCCAAGGAGGACTTTAATTTTGTCTTTCAACCAATTAATTTGTCAAGGAAGAATAATTACAGTCAGTATGAGAAAAATGAGCCCATTGCAGACAAAAAGAATACTTTTTCAAATACACAAGTGGACATTCAGAAAAATCTGGATATCCCATTTACACTTCCATTTACGTAAGTAGAAGCTGAAGGTGAAACTGGGCGGGCTGGTGTCGGAGAATGACTATAAAATGAAGCATTAACTGGTGGTTTGTGTCCGGCAGCCGGAGGCGGTTCAGACTCTGTACATGAGGGTGCTGCACCTACTGTACCGGTTCAGGCCTGAGTGCCACTCTCTGGTGAGCCTCTCATCCCTCTCATCAACTTTAAAGTCTACTTTATTGTCATTTTCAGTTTGAAAGTAGAACTCACAAAACCTTTTAACTTGCTCAGAAAGATGATTGCATGAAATGTGATGTTTGAAGTTTTCCCCACAGTCTGCTGCAGTTCTTTCTTGTTTTTTAACAGGTTCCACTTTTGGAGAATATTCAGTATCCAGCCAATCATGAGGGTGCTACTGCCATCATGAGTGTCTACACACGCATGTGAGTTGTTTTTTTCCTTTAAACTCAGTGTGTGGTTTTAACAGGGGGTGGAAGAAATACTCATTTATCTGATTGCACTGAATTGCTTTTATGTATTTCAATCCACAACCAGTGAACTGCATTTTTACGAATACATAAACAGTTAATGTTCATTCTAATAGAATTTTCTGTGGGTTTTTTAAGGCGGCAGTTCCTGCCCATGTGCTTGGTGTATGATTTTTCCCTGAATGACCTCCTAGCTCCAAGTAAGTGTGTATTTTTTTATTCTTTAATGAAAATAAAAACTCCACTCCATAATAGGTAAATCAGACTGTCATCAAAAACTTAGGCACGCTAACAACATGGACCAATAAGAACAAAACTCACAATAAAACCTGGGAATGAATGCACACATTTTTGTTTAGTGTACTGTGTGCAATCTTGAATACTATGTGTATTCACAATTTAGATTCCTCATATGTTGCAGAATTGTAATGCTTTATAACTTAACTGAACACATTTTTTAACGTTATTTAAGCTTTTCAAAGTTAGAGGACAATGTCATGTATTTTGCATGAAATAAATGTTGGTAAAAAGTTTTTAAAAGAATAGAGGTTATCACCGCTGAAATGGCTGAACTGGTGGTAAGACAGGTAGTGGTTATGGCAGGTTGGGGGTTCAAATCCTGACCAGGGCTCACCTGCTGACCAGTTTTGATTAAGAATCCCCTTTCATTTCATCAGAAAAACAGAGGACTCTGACCATTCTGAGTGGCATCATGAACTTTCTTCACTTCAGGAAGCAGAGGATGGAGTTGGTCTTGGAGAAACAGGCCAAATTTGTATGTGATGTTTGTTTACTTGGTAATAAAGTAACAGTTTGTGAGACTGCTAGATTGTCCCAGAAGGTATAAGAATAATTGACTTAATGTCTCTTAGGTAAATGAGGAGAAAACAGTGCATATTATAGCTGTATATGAGACATAACATTTTCCTAGAGTTAAAGAAAGGTTGTAAGCATATCTGGGAGCTTGTGTTTCATCAGAGAGCAGACATGGACAAGCTGCAGGCCTACACCAAAGGCAATCTACAAGCCGAGAAGAAGATTGAGACGTTGACGTAAGTTTTTGAAAGCCTCTCTTTAGTTTTTCCTTTCTTTTTCTATTGTATAGAAGAAGTCTATTTGTCTATTGCTGGAAATGAAACAGTTTCACATATTAAGCCAGAAGCAGGATATCTGCAGTCTGGAGAAATAAATCCCATTTCCTGTTTGATTATTGAGGACCATCCCTCCTGAGCAGCAGGCGGAGGCAGATGAACTGGCAGCTGCCCTTTCTGAGCTCCAGTCCACCACTATGCACGAATACCAGGAAGTGGTAGGTGGTGATAAAGCACGATGTGAAATGTCTAAAATCACAAGCAAAAAAAAAAAAAAGTGCACAAGCAGTTAACGTCTGATTTTTTTTTTCTCCCCCTTTTAGAATGCTAAAAATGACATCATCGCAGAATGGAAAGCTAAGATAGCAGAGAAGACACAGAAACTGGCAAGTGACACCAGATATGTTTTAGCTTCATGTACCATCAGGTGTGTTTATACACAGACATGTTTGTGTGTCAGGCCCAGGTCAAGGTGGATCTGACTAACCTGAAGGAGGACATCTGCAAACTGAAGTCCCAGATCGTGGAGTCTCCGGAAGAGTTGAAGAGCCAGATGGAGAAAATGAGGGAGAACGTCAAGAACATCAAGAGCTCCATCGTGAGTTGGAAAGGAAACGGTCATGAGGATGAGCCCCTACTGAAGCTGGTAGAGTGAAATGATTCTTCTGTGGTGGTTATTTGCAGGAGGAAACGGACGAGCGTGTGGTGGAACTGCAGAACATGGTGCAGGGCGTGTCCCACACTGAGGCAGAGATCCAGCAGACCTACAGCCTCCTGCAGGACCTGGAGAGCAGCATGAACAACACCAGGCAGCAGCAGGAGAAGGTGCTGTCCCCCACACAGACGTTTATCCATATCAGAAAATTCAATAGAATACGGATTCTGGATGTTCCTTTTTTCTCGTGTGATCTGCAGGTCTAACATGAATAGTTCCTGTCAGAGCTGATCTCTTATTATTCCAATAGTTACTCACCTCCTGATAATTGATCCATTTGGTGGCAACATATGTCTCAAACAGTTTAATTTAAAGTTCTCTTTTGGCTTTTGTTGTCCTTACCACCTTTTTTAAAATGTATTTTCCAATTTTTTTAGTTCCAAGTTTTCTTTGTTTGAAAAATACACAAATAATGCCCAGACAAAAAACCCCCCAAAACATGTCTTTTTTACATCATTTTGTTTTCCGTTTTTTTAAATTGATTTTTTAACTGAATTAGATAGGGGGGTGTCTTGTGAAATATATAATAGTCCAATGTGTCCAGATTCAGGTTTATTTAGTATATAATTTGGACTTTAAAGGAACGCTTGAGCCAAATATATTTTATTATGTTTATCAAATTTGTACTTGTAATCTTGAGTAACTTGACAACTCCAGAAAATAAGATAGTGATTGGGTTTCATGCAGTCTCCAACAAGCCTCTCCTGAGCCACAATATTGTTTTTGTGTAGAAGACATCCAATGTGTTTGACATATTTTTTCCAAATTTTCCACAGGAATTTTCACATTCACTTCACTGTCCCACTTCTACTTAATGTAATCTGCAATTTCTTGTAGAGATAGTTGCATACCGTTATACACCTTGTTATTTTAGTACACGGTTTTCCTTCAAACATTGTCAAAAACACAAATTCGAAACCCTTGCTGACACGTACCTCCTTCAGATTCAGATTTGTTTTATTGTCAAATTTGCAGGTACCTGTAAAAGTCCTACTATATTTATTTCTCAAAGCTCTAAAATGCCCCCTTGTGGGTAAGTGAGATATAGGTGAATAACCCCATTTGATACCAAATTATTTTTAAACCTACTAAATTCTTGTTGGGTACAAAGTTTGAGTTGTAAATACAGCATCTCAACATTTTGTTTGCCTCACCTAATATATATAATTTAGTGGTCTCCTGCAATGACTGTTGTAAGGTTTCTTTTATTGATCTGAGAGGGTCAATTAGGTCTGTAAAGTCTCACCTGAGAGGATGGTCATTATTGGGAAGTCTGTTAGTTTCTTTCCATCCTGCTGAGCACACTGGTGAGCACAGGCAGCATAGAGCTGAGCAGAGAGCTAATATTCTAATATTCTAATATTCTCAAATGTAAGGGAGAGCCATTCCTCCCTTTTCTTTACTTAGAGTTTGTTTCTAACGGGATTTGGTCCCCTGTCATAAAAACATAGATATTAATCCATCCCAATCTAAAGAAGTACTTTGGAAAAAGTGCAGTAAGCAAGGGAGAATGTTCATTTTGATAGACGTAACTCTGAAAGTGAAGGACAGGAAGGAGACCACATTCCACCTCTGATGTCCCATTTTATTCTCGCAATTAGAAAAAAATAGTTGTGGTACAAAAACTTAGTTAAATTCTTTGATATGTTAATTCATAGATGTTTAATGTGTTCCACATCCCATTTTCATTTGTAGATCTTATCTGTGGTGGAGGTCTGTAGTTGATTGATACAACCTGGGTTTTTATTAATGTTGATTTTATAACCTGATATGTCCTTCAACATATCCATTTATTTTTGGAGGGTTTCTGTGGGCTGAGATAACACTACGAGTAAATCTTCTGAAAATAAGGCAGCTTCTGCTCTGTCTTTTTTGCCTTTTCACTAGTAGTAGCCCTCCTTTTTATTTTCAAATGGATATCTGCCATCACATTTAAGTTTACCTGAATTTTTTCTGACATGGTTACATGTCTCACTTTGATTCTGTTACAGGTAAAATACAAATATGAGACTAGTTAAAAAACGCATTTCCGTATCTTTAATTTTTCACAGTATCCCAACTTGTCTGGATTTGTAGCTGCGGGTCACAGAGTTCCCAAATTATACTTCATCATGTTTGAAAATGCCCTGCTGATTTCAGTACCAGGAGCTGATGGCTCGGCACGAGAAGAAGCAGAAGGAGCTGAAGAACCTGTGCATAGAGGAGGGGCAGCTGAAGCGCGCTCTGGGCATGAAGCTGGACAAAGAGTGCAAACATAACATCCGCAGGCAGAAGAAGAGGGAGATGAAGGAGCAGCACGTTCAGGAAGTCCTGGGGTAGCTGCACTCACTCACTCACCACCTCCCTGCACCGCATCTGTACTGGAACCCAAACCCTGACCCCTCCTGTCTTCCAGGCAGTGTAACCAAATCCACCAGAAACGAGAAGAGATGGCCGACAAAATCCAGGACATCTCAGGAGAGACGCAGCAGCTCAAGGCCAGGATCAAAAGCCTGAGAGACGTCTGCAGCAAAGAGACGGACAAAGCTCAGGTACAGCCATGAGAACAGTGTGTGTGTGTGTGTGTGTGTGTGCTCCTCGTGCCTTTCTGCTGACCGTTTCTGTGTCCAGGCGCTGTACGACACCCTGTCAGCCTCCATGGATGAGCTGCACCGGAGGATCCAGGTGCACGTCACAGACCTGAAGCTAAATGTCACCAACATGTCCGCCAACTTCTGACAGTGCTGCTTTTCATTTTTATGTTTAAACCTTTTTGTGTCTTTCTATTTAAAACATGAAATTCAAGTTAATGTTAGTCAACTTGAACTATTTTATGGTGTTAAGTTCTTAAAATAAAAATTTTAGTCCAGTTTTTGCTAACAGTTTACTCGTTCTTTGAGCAGCTACAACTTCTGTGCAACATAGCTGATCACTGCAATAAAATCATTTTATCTCTTTGTTTTAGACTGTTGTATTTTCTTATGACAAACATGAAGATGACTGTTATTTTTCTCCATTTTTATTTAAACAAGGCTTTATTTTAAAATAGTCAAACACAAATGTTGGTAGATTAACACATCAAATGAAACCCGTTTTCTTCTTTCTTTCTTTCTTCTTGACACTAACAGAATGTGTGGGTTCACTTCTCTGTGGTCTGGCTGTTTAGGTGGTCAGCTGACCGCCTCGTGTTTTGACCCTTCCCCGTCATTCCTCTGAGCCGGGGCGTGACTTGTTGGACTTCTTCAAGACAACAAGCTGAGCTTTGTAATCTTTAGCCTGAGCCCTCACTGATTGCAGTTCCTTACGCAGGCCGTTAATTTCGGTGATTAAGGTCATGTTTTCCTGCAGAGACCACAATCGCAATTAAGTCCAGGAGGATTTGGAATTTGATAAAATGAGGGCCTCGGAGATGAGTGTTTTCTGACCTTCATGATCTTGACGTAGACCTTTTCGTGCTCCTCTGCAGATTTAGCCAGCTTCATCTTCAGGCCATTGACAGTCTTTTCCAGGTGGTCCCGCTGGTAGCGGAATGCTCTCTGAATCTCATCATCCACACTGCTCTTCTCCACCTTAGACAAAGCCAATTCTGTCATTTCTTTCTGGAGCAGAGTGTTTTCTTATCTGTGATCTGGTTCATTTAGGATACCCACACTGCCCATGTTTGAGATGTAGCGGCTGTAGATCAGCTGAACGTTGTCCTTCAGCTTTTTGGGCTCCTGAATGAATTCAATGCATTTATGAAGGTCTGACTTGAGTCTTCCAAGAAGCGTCTCCAAATCTTTCACCTGAGCACAGATAGTTTTGACAGCAATATTACACACTTTAATTTTAAGTTCAGGAACATGAACAAGACAGATTTCAGATACAGGAGAATCTGGTCAGCTAGTCCCAACCCTCTGTATCTCCTTGTGCATCTCCTTATCTCTGGTCCTCAGTTTGAGCCTCAGATCTGAAACGGTGAATTTTAGCTGAGTGTTGCTCTTGTCGATCTGCACCAGCTCCTCCTCCAACTGTTGGAGAAAAGACACAGCACCTCTAACTTCACCATCTATGCTATACGTTACAGTGTTTTAACACAGATAGGAGGCACCAAAAACCCTTTATGGACACATTGGGGCTCAGTTTCCCTCGCCCAGACTCTGTGAGCCATGCTTGGAGTTGGGCGTGGCGGCGGGGACCTGGGGACCAGGCCTTTGCCCAGGGGGCCCGCTTGGGCTTTACCCAAAAGGACAACATGGGTCCCTCTTGCAGTGGATCTAGCACCTGCAGGGGGGGGCACTGGGGTTGGGCAGCAGCTGAGGACTGGGACCCTGGCAGTTCCTCCTGGGCTGCAGAGGCTGTAGGCAGGTAGAGCGACACCCCTCTGGCAGCTGCTCTGGGAGCACTGGACCCTCTTGTTGGTTTGGTCCGCATTGCAAAATGGAGGGTTGGACTCCACCAAGGCTGCCCTTTGTAACTGATTCTGTTCACAACTTTATGGACAGAAATTGTAGGGGCAGCTGAGGTGTTGAGGGGATCCAGTCTGGTGGCTCAGAACTGGATCTCTGCTGATGATGTAACTGTGTTGACTACACCGGGATCTCCAGCAAGCTACACCCTGCAATATCCTAACATTTCCTTTTCTAATATAAAAAATATATGAACCAGAAGATAGTATTGTTAGCAAGTCATGGGCAGATGTACAGTTAGTTAGCAGGAAGGGAACTGCCCCACAAGCCATCTCCAATCTCTCCATAAGATTAAACATGTAAAAACAAATAACTTGTATGTCAACAAACTCCTTGTTGCATTTCGCATTAAAGGTTCACTCTTCACAAAAACTAAAAATGACACTTAAAGCCACAGATTGGCAGAACTGCCCACTTTAGCAAAGGTAAGGTGGAGTTGAATTTAAGCCAAATCTTCCTGATTTGACGTCTCTCTTGTTAACTCTCAGGAAAATGGCTGAGATTAAACTAAAGCGACAGCAAGTCCTGGGATAAGAAAGCTTTTCTGAGGGTCCTGAGAAGTATGGTGAGCGTAACCAGATTCCAGGGATTAAAAGGCACATTTATGTTTCTTACTCTACCATATTTCTATTGAAAATGAAAATGATAACAGAATATTAGAGTTATTAAATAATAATTAAATATAGAAAATATCCAAACACCACAGATACAAGTCACACACCTGATGGATCCTCTTCTTCTTTTCATTGATGTCCTCTTGCTGAGGTATAATCTGCTTCTTTAACTCTTCCAACTGGCATCCAATCACAAACTTCAACTTCTCCAGTTCCTGGTTCTTCTTTTTCAGACCAGAAATGCTCTTATCCTGTGGGGACATGATTAGTCAGACTGATGTTTAAATAAGATGGTATTCAGCTTTCTGCTCTTCAACTACAGTTCACCCATTTAGTAGAGGATTTCATGGAAATCTTTTAAAGTGGTCCTGAAGCTTTGGTGTTTGAGTACTTTTTTCTCCCTTATTCCCAACAGGTGAATTTGAACCTCTTTTTTTAGCTTTGTGTTCCATTTTTGGTAAAGACCAACACCCTGGGGAGTTTTACACCTTTAAGACCTTCTTGACATTACATCTTTAGTTTTTTACCCTGAAAGTAAGAGTCACCTGAGAAACGTCTCAGTCACATGTTATATCATAACATGGATGTTTTAACTTCCATGTCTAAATTAAACAATTTCCTCAAAAGTACATCCTGGTTTCCCCAGTGTTTTATTGCTATAGTAAACAGAAGCAGTTTCTTATCAGGTTTTAGAGAAATAAACTAATACCAGATGGATACGGAGAGAGATTAGAACATGCCACTGCACAAGCCAAATAAACTGTGAAGTAATAAGAAAATGCTTAAGAGGCTCTTCCAGAGACTGTAGGGAGAAGGCGTTGTCAGCCACCTTGTCTCTGCTGGTCTTCTCGTGCCCACAGATCTGCCTCTTCAAGTCCTCAATGTCCCCCTCCAGAGAGCGGATCAGCCCCAGCAGACTCTGCCGCTCCTGCTTCATCTTGTTCTTATCAGAAGAACTCTCATCCATCTGTTTCTGCAGGATGTTTAACTGAGGAGAAACACACACGCAATGAGGGAGAGGACAGATTCAGAGATCACACAAAGACCGTGAAGAAGAGAAGATATATTTACTAATCTAAATCTATCTTTTCTGAACAAGAGACACCTGCAGCCTCACAGTCAGTACCCCCACACACCAACCCCTTTTCACTATGAGTTTTCACATACACACCCACTGCTGCACACATACATGGCCTTTGTTCATCTCCATTTAAAATTATTAAAATACATCAGTTCTATTTGCAGCACACATATTTTTGTAACTTTTGTATATTCAATTTAGTCAAATACTTAACATTTTTGTGCTTTCTTTGCTGGTGCTGTGGGGGAGTATCTTCCCCATATTGAGTAACTGTTAATTTTGTTTAGTTGTTAGTCATTTAAGTTCATTCTAAAGTTAACTGTGTTTAGAATTTTGTTAAATTTGTGTAGATGTTCCCCTTCCCTCTTCCTCAGTGTGTCGGTATGGTCTGAACAGCTTTTACTAAAGTCCCCTTTGTTTGTTGTGTCAGGTCATTTTGTTTGTTTGAGCAGTTAGTTTTAGGGTTTTTATTTTAAACCTTGTTTTTCATATAGGGCCCTGTAATTATTCTTTGGAATTTTGTCAATTTGGGAAAATAAAACCCATTTTTCTTGAAAATCCTTACTGTTCCAAGCCAGCTCACAAGACTACTGAAATTGACTGAGTACCAGTAGCTTTTGTCACCTGTTGTGTTATGATTGCAGCATCTTCCTTCAGGTTCATGTTGCTCTGCTTCTCAGAGTGCAGTTTCTTCTCGTACTTTATTTGCATGGCATGGATCATCTTCTCCTCATCTTCCTCCATCTGCTTTGTGATCTCTTCCTGTTCAAGAACCTTCTGTTTGGTGTCCTCCTGGCACTGTTTGAAAATAATAGCATTGCAAAATGAAGAAGCTGAATGGTGTGATAATCCCATGTTAACACAAACAGTTTGACCTGAGCCAGGAGCTGAGTCTTCTCCAGCAGCTTGGATTCGTACAGCTGTGTTAGTGCCTCCTCAGCCTGGGCTCTGCTCTCCTCTGCACACTTCAGCTGCCTCTCGTAGTGCTCCAGCATTGTCCTATGCTTTTGGTGCAACTCTTGGTACTTGTCGTGCTCCACAATGAGTTTTTGGCTGTATGATTGTTCTGTAAATTATTAAAAAGCGATGTAATGCTCATGGCTCCTTACAAAACCTTGAAAACACAAACCAACATCATCTTTTTACCCAAATCCCTCCGTTCTTTTAAATGTTTCACAGCCGCCTCTTCATATTTCTCTTGATTCTCACGTTCACTCATTTCCATTTCCGTCTTCATGACCTAGGGTTGTAGTGTGTGATAAAGTCACAACATCTGAGACAGAAGCAGTTGTTTCTTTGATAACTTTTTAGTTACTTTTTTGATAAGAAGGTGTGCTCTTAAACAGCTGAGGTCGATCGTACTGAACCTCTGAATATATGCACACCTGTTGTGTTCTTTTCAGAGACTCCACTTCTTGGCTAAACTTGTCACACAGCTCCTTGAGCTTCTCGCTGTAGCTCATGTCCTTCAGGCGGAGTTGGTACTCATTCTCCATCTGGAGTTCCTCAAGACGCATTTTCAACTCAAGCATGTTCTGGGCCTAAAACATGACCAGATGAATACATGAGTAGAAAGTTTAAAATTGTCTTTTCCCCACATTCTCATTATTACTAAACAACACGGCGGCAGTTTTTGAGTCCACATATTTCTGCTAAACTGAAACATACCAAAACTTGGTTTCATAATCTTGTTTTTAAAGAAATTTGTGTTAAGTTTGGGATAAATGAATCCATTCTTTATTATGTATTACACAATGTCTCAATTTTTCAGGAGTTGGAGTTACATTTGCATGTTTTCTTCCCATATTCATGTTCCTTTGAACTAATTAAAAATTCAGTTAATTTTTTTTGTTGTTGTTTAAAATAGAGACTGACAGGCTGACTTTGAGATAGCGCATCAGTAATTTAGGTGAGGTGTTTGCTTTTTACAGCAAGACTGCACTGACTACTCAGTAAGGAAAGCAGCTATTGGCTGTCCTAAAAGTATCCAGCTATCACTAAATGCCGTCCTTCCCTTATTAGCATAACTCATCATGTGGATGTTATTGCGGTGGAGGGGAACAGTAGTGTACGTAGAATAATAGGAGTTCCTGGATACAACACATAAATCATTGCACATTTGTATTTCTCAAATGATCTTACTTCACAAACACTATTATATATGATATGTTATATGTTATAAAGGCCATATCCTTTATAAATCAGGGGTCGGGTGCTGTGTGAAACGGGTGGGGCTGGAGTCGGGGACCTTAGCGGACGGATCCCCGGCTGCAGAACCTGACTCTGGGGACGTGGAACGTCACCTCTCTGGTGAGGGGGGGGGGCCTGAGCTGGTGTGCGAGGCGGAGAGATTCTGGCTGGACATAGTCGGTCTCGCCTCAACGCACAGCTCTGGCTCTTGGGAGGGGTCAGACACTCTTCTATTCTGACTGTCATTTGTGCTAATGCACCTAATACCAGATTACCCACCCTTTTTGGAGTCCTTAGAGGGGGTCTGCAGAGCACCCCTCCTGAGGACTCCCTTGTTCTGCTGGGGGACTTCAATGCCTACGTTTGCAGAGACAAGCTCGAGTGGTGTCTGATCTGTGACCATCATATGTCTTGGACACTCAGGTGAGTCTGAGTGGGCTCAGACTCAATTTCCACCTCCATTGCTTCTCCTCCCATGTTGCATCGGCTCTTCCAAGCTCCAGCACATTTTCCTCACTTGAGATTAATGAGGCCACACAGTCCCTTTGCTCCACATTGAGCACCTGCTTGGATAGTCCGTGTCCTCTATCCTCTAAACCTGCCCGAGCCTCTCAGTCCCACCCATGACTTAATGATACACTCAAATCACCAGCCTCAGGGCTGCAGAAAGGAAATGGCAAAAATAAAGAATTCCAGAAGATCTAACCAAATTTCAGGCACTGCTGTCCCTAACCCTAACCCTAACCCTAACCACTTTGGCAAAAAAGGCTTTCTATACTGATAAAATTGGCAGTACAACCGACACTCGAAAACTATTCTCCATCTTCAAAACCCTACTCAACCCTGCTACCAGTTTAATGGCAGACACTTTCGCCTCATTTTTTACTGACAAAGTTGCAGCTATTAGCAAACAGTTTACTGAACTGCCCACACCTGAAAACTTCTCAGAGTACAGATTGTTGTGGCCATTTAAGTGAACTTTTTGTCATTTACATGTCCTTTTTAATTTTAAATAGTTGAAATATATTTTAGTTTGTACAGAACCATTTTTAATTTAATTGTTAGGAATTATTAGGATTCATTTGGTCATTTTCTAAGCTCCTCCCATTAATTTGGGAGAGTAAGAACAGCCAGGGTGTTATGTTCGGGATTGTTTTGTGTTTTCCCTTTTTTCTTTATCCCGCAGCAGTGTGTGACAGCGGGCGTGGCTGACTTTAGCTGGTGCTGCAGGCTGGACACCTGGACCTGATTGCTCAATCAAGACTGCAGTCTTAAGCCCGTTTGTCTCAGCACCACGCTGCCAGAGAATTCCGTCATGTTTGGGTCCTCATGGTTTCAAGCTCCACGCTCAGTCCTGCAAGTCGGCCAGCTCCCTGTCTCCACTGCCTGCGTGATTAAAGCTTTTTTGAACCTGCCATTTTGCCTCAGTCTCTGCGTTGGGGTCCACTAGCGAACCGTAACACAGGGTATATCTGGATGGGGGTTGTGGTTTGTAAGGGGAATGTCAGGTGTGATGACGGGAGGTTTGGATACAATGATTTTTTGACCGTGCTACACTTTTGTGTTACCTTTTCGATCACCCTTTTTTACTTTTTTACTTGCAACAAAGTTAGAATGGAATTTTGGTTGTTATTTCCCTATAATTTTACAAAAAATAAAGGAAAGTGCGTCAAAACCACAAATCACCTGTTGCGACCGACGGCCTTTTCTTTGTAGGAAGAATTTGGTTTGGAAATAATAAAAGGCCGTGACACAGATTCTATCAGAAGTCCTACTGCTTCATTCTCTTCATTTACCCCTCTCACTGAGAGCAATGTGTCTAAACTCCTCACATGTAGCCGTAATAATACACCCCTGCAGGATCCTGTTCTTAAAAATGTACTCCAGCCCTAGCTCCTATGGTAACTGCAGCAGTCACACACGTGACCAATGCCTCACTGACATCAGGCACATTTCCTAACTCATACTAGCAAGCTCTGGTTACACCGCTGCTCTGTCTCAGACCGTTGAAAGGGCAGTCTTTAAGCAAGTAACAGAATACCTCTCACAAAACAATCCCCTTGAATCAAACCAAAATGGCCCCTCCACTGAAATGGCTCTGTTGTCTGTCACAGAAGCCTTAAAAGAGGCGAGAGTAACAGGAAAGTCTTCAGTACTTATCCTGTTTGACTTATCAGCCGCATTTGACACAGTCAACCATGACATCCTTCTGTCTATACTCTCGAGTATGGGCATCACAGGGAGAGCACAGTCCTGGTTTGAATCATACCTAACTGGTCGATCATTTAAAGTATCCTGGCTTGGTCACACTTCTGCAGTGCACCACCTCACCACAGGGGTTCCTCAAGGTTCCGTACTGGGACCTCTTCTCTTTGCCATATATACCAATTCTTTGGCCCAGATCATTCAATCACATGGTTTCTCATACCACTGTTATGCTGACGACACCCAGCTCTATCTGTCATTCCCACCTGATGACCTCCCAGTCTCAGCACGCATCTCAGACTGTCTTTCTGACATATCAAAATGGATGAAAGCCCATCAACTCCAACTAAATCTCTTTAAAACTGAACTGCTTGTTTTCCCAGCTAAACCAACCATACCCCACAATATTTACATCCAGACTGGACCCCTGTCTCTGACTCCGTCAAAGGCGCCAAAAACCTTGGGTGTCATGATTGATGACCAGCTGACCTTTAAAGATCATGTTGCCTCCGTTTTACAATCTTGTCCCTTCACACTACTAAACATAAGAAAGATCCAGCCATACCTAACCCAACAGCTCCTGGTTCATTGAGCTTCAATGGTTACCCCTGGCTGCCCGCATCAAATTCAATTACCTGATGCTTACAAATTCAATTACAAAGTGCTTAAGGGTACAGCTCCTGTCTACTTGAACCCTCTTGCAAAGGCTTATGTCACAACTCGGGTCACTCCGGTCAGCAATGGACTGTGGTCTAGCACTGCCTACACCACGCTTAAGACAATCCAGACTGTTTTCATGTGTTGGTACAAGATGGTGGAATGACCTACCAAGCGCTACAAGAACAGCAGGTCCCTGTCTGTCTTTAGGAAACGCTTAAAGAGCCACCTCTTCAAAGAGAATCTCCTATCCTAACTCTTACCCATACCTCTCTACCCCTCTACTACTCTTTTTGCACTTCCCTATATCTCTCTTTGTTGTCACCACTGATTCTGACTAGGGATTTTCCTCTAGAGAACTTATTGTGATATTGATGAAAACTGTAAAATTGTGTCTACTTTGTAAAAAAGTTAAAGCTAGTTTAGGCCACCTCTATATAATGATGACTTAGGAGAAAAGAAAGCACGATACATACTGTTTAACATTATGTGGTTAATGCTAAATGTTGAAAAATACAGTAGAGTGAACAGAACAGTCACAAGACCTTCTCTTCCAGGTCTGTCCTTGTAACAAGGATCTCCTCAGTATGGACGATCTGCCTGTTACTCTTCAGTCCTCGACCTTCCTTATCGACGATCTTCGATATCAACAGGGAGCTTTCTTCAGACACTGTGAGTAGGTACTGATCATCATAGGTGATCACCATCTGAGGACATACTCACTTTGATCAGTGACTTTTGCAGACAGCTGAAAATTTTAACCTGTTATTGCATTATTCAAATTGCTTTCATCTGTGAAGTGTGACTGTGGGCATTGGTGCATCAGCTCACCTTGGTGACAGGACCACAGTGAGCCTGGTGTGTGCTCCATTCCTTCTTGATAGGTAACGGGTATTTAATGGATCTAATGGTCCCAGCGGAGGTTCCAGTAAAGACAACCCTTCCAGAGTGAGATACTGCGAGAGCAGTGTGAGCGACTTCATCAGCAGGGACCTCCCTCAGGACCTGTTCAAACAATCACCAACATCCTCTAAAGTGGATATATTCAGAGTTAAGTATTCAGTGGAGAGGTTAAACTAAGCTGCACTGTGTGATGTAATATTCCAGTGCTGTACATAAGAAATATGCAGTCAGGTTCAGCATGTTTTTTTTATTTTGTGGATGTGGCAAATGTAAGATCTGACACAACTTGAAACAACTTTTTCAAAAGCTTTGATTGGTTGGAATGTAAGTTCAAACTCTTAATTCCAATAATTATTCACCTTAGAAACTATATTATATAATAATAATTATCATTATTAATTATTTATTAAGTTGCATGTTCAAACCTCTTGAATACTGTGGATTCAACAGATAGACAAAAAATGGAACTGAACATTTTGTTAGTAAAAAGAAATCATGCTCCACAGGCTTTACCCAAAGTTTTGGTGTTTGTATTCAATTTTGAATGATAAAACGTTGTAACTGACCTCACCGCCTTGGATCTCCCTCAGGGTGAGGTCTGACCCCACAGCCAGGATAGTTTTGTAGTCAGCAGAGAAAGCCACATCTGTGTAGTTGCAAGCCTTGATGACACTCTCAGATTCACGCTTGCCAGTCTGTGTGTTCCATTCATAGACCGCGCCGTCCATCCCACAGGACACCAGCCGGCTGTCATCCAGGCTCCACTCAATGCTACTTACCTACAGTCAGACAGATGCAAACACTGATTTATAAGGAAACTGATGGTGAGCAACAACCTTAGCTGTAGATCGGATTAAAATGCATGCACTCTCCTCTTGACTCACCGTCCCATTGTGGCCCTTCAGATTGAGAATATTCTCAAAAGAAGTGAACGAATAGATGTGAATGATGTTTCCATTGACAGCTGCAAACATGTGGCCTCCATGACTAAAAGCACACTAAAGATGTGGAGCAGGACAGTAAAGCAGATTATTCAGGCTGAATGTAGAAAGCCACAAAGTCTCAGCTTTGCTGAACACACAATCCAGTGGATATTACCTCTCTGCAGCCACGCACTGTGAATTCCTTGAGGGTACGGATGTCATCTATAACCAGGTTCATCAGCCGAAGTTTGTCTGAAAAGCCCACCAGGATGAAGAGGCCGATGGGGTGCAGAGCTATGCTGTGTGCCTCCTCCTGGAACTCCTTGTACAGCTCCAACTCCCTGACAAATTACAGCCGAGAACAGAATGGAAAAAACTGAGTTGTATGTCATTAATGTGCTTTACTAATCTGCATCAGGAATACTTATTAATCCCTTATTAATCACCAGGTATAGTTTGCAACATGGTGCACCTGCCAGAAATTCCAAGGGTGTAAGTCATATGTAATAAAAGCACAGAAGTATGTATGATATCATGAAAAAAAGGAGATTAATGATACCTTAAAAGTTGAATAAAATATTTAATTAAACAATTATAGTCATGTCCAGCTCCAAACCCACAACATCACTGGCCCTTTAAATCAGTCTGTTGAGACTATTGCTGTCAGCCACCTTAAAACTTCTGGGCCAACATGCTTGTGGAATATCCTCAGCAAAGCCTGGCCAATACTGACCCACCTCAGTCGCCTCAAAAGCTTTTCAGCGGAGGGTATTGATGTTCTTAGCCTAGTCCAGTAAGTCTGAATGATGTCCACTCTGGTCCCCTGGATTCCAACACATGTCACTGTTACCTTGATCCTCTTTAGATTTATAACCAGCTATTGTCTTTACCATATTGAGTTGCAGTTAAGTGCACACCATGAGACAAAGATGTCCACAGCCATTTTTATTCATCCCCATTATGATCACCTTAGAAACCGTTCATACAGCGGTTACTTTACCTGCAAGTGTAACAAATTCAGTAAATATTTCACTGGAAAAATACCAGATGTCACACATGAATGCTTACTTTGTCTCATAGTTCCAGATCCTTACAGTGCGGTCCAGAGAGCAGGTGGCCACAATGGGTTTGCGAATACAAATGGACAAACCAGTGATGGAACTGGAGTGAAAAGGCTGGGACAGGAACTCAAACTGTAGCTGTCCATCCTGATGAGAAGAGTTGTAGAGTTTTAGTATTCACATTATATCATATTCCAACCATGTGAAATTAAGTTAATCAACTGTGGTGTGTTGTAGAGAAAAGATAATCCTCTGATATGCACACATTGATGACTGAATCAGAGCATTGGAAGGGCAAGAGGGGACAGGAAAATGAAGAATATGATGATTTTCTGGATAAAAGGGACTCAAGTGGGTACACCAAAACTGTCTTAAAAGCGGAGTTAGAGATTTCTACATGGACAAGTACAAAAACGATAATGTGCAATATGGTCTTTGTTTTTAGTTTAAATTCTCAGAGCTTCACTGGTAAAACATGCTGTTGATGTTAAATATCAAGACCGCTAAACTCTCTCAAAATATATGTGGTAATTGTAGAAGTATTTTAACATCAACAAATGACCAAGCTGTGAGCAAAACCAAAGAAAGAACAAACATCAAACAGGAAATTGAACAAATTTGACAAATGAGTAAAATGATCTAACAAGTCAACTTAATAGATATTCCTGACTAGTTAAGCAGCGGCAACACTGATTGTTTTAATTAAGAAGGTGAGCATGAAAGAATGCAGGAAGAGACACAGAATGCAGCTTAGTGAAGCCATCTGAGAAACACGGATATGTGACTGTACAGAACCTTGCTTATGGCAGCAGATGAAAGGCTGACACTGTACAGCTGTCTTCTGTCCGTACTGATGGCCAAAGTCTCCTCTGCTGGACTGAGGCACATGGTGTCAATATGGCTCTCTGCAGTGGTCAAATCATGGCCACATGGCTCTGAAAGGATCTGACACAAACAGATCCCTATGAGTGAAAAACACACGACAGCACTGGTGATTTGGTTTTGAAGCTCGTGTTTACCCGAATCTCCCTGCTTTTATGGTAGCAGTCCTCCTCCGTCCTGTCAAACAGGCAGACAGTGCCGGGGCCAGTCACACACACAAAGCCCTTGGAGTAGGATAGGATGGCGGTTATAGGAGAATCAGCCAGCCTTTCATTCACATCACTATCTTTGATCCTCTTCATCTCCACCTGCCTATGCAGTGAGTTAACAGCTTTAATGATCTGACAGATTCCACAAAACACTTGCACAGAAACAAATATTAGAATATGAACTGAATAGATAGCCAATATTAAAAATGTAATTCTCTTACATTTTTCATAGAGTTGGTTGTAATCTAAATGATCTTGTAATGTATTTCTACTACAGGATGGTGGCAAAGTTATTTAATCCTAACAGTGGGGAGTTCAATCATTTCTTGAGCAACTTTATTGGAGGACACATTTGGTAGTTGTGGAAAAAGATGTTACTCCTTTAAAAAAGGAGTAGAATTACTGCCCTGCATGAAACAATGAAAAAAGATTTCTGAAACTAGTAAAACTGGTGGAAGAATTGCAAGATTTAAACCTGGAATGATATTGATAATCATTGTCCTCAAGTACAAGTTCGGTTCGAAGAGAATAGGTATATTAATAACAGATTGATACAACGTGTTCATATTTATTTTGTTTGATATTAATTAAACAAATCAGGTGAAAAAACTAATGGCTGAAGTGCTGCTCCCATCATGCTTTGTGCCTATTGTACAAGCCCTGATGATTAGGGCTCGTGTCAGTTGATCAGGTTAAACTTCAAAATCTTTTGGACCCAAATGTGACATCAGTGGAATATCTGAAAATTCTGAATGAGATTTTTTTTAATGAAAGTTTATCTGCGTTTCCCTTGATGACATGGTCACATTGGAAAGACACAGAGCTGTCACAGAGTTGTCTTAAATAGCAAAAGATTGGTTGAGGACATCAGTTTCAGATCGATTTCAGATGTGTCACATTGTCAAGATCTTCTCTTGACTATGTGACTCCTGTTATTGCATAATGAGTGTTACTAATCTTTGCTTGGCATTGTGTGATAACTCTAATCTAATAAGGAATATTTGCTGTAGACTTGTTACGGTTTAAATGTTTAAGTTTTATGTCTTGTCAGACTCTGAAAACCAAGTTAATGAGAGTTAAAACACACAATTATTATAACAAATCCAAACCCTGAGCTGACCTGTTAGTCTGCCCCGGCAGTACTTCAGAGGTCATCTTGATCTCTCTCCTCAGATCCCCAGACTCACACACGAGCAGCCTGCCTGTGTCCGTTCCAGCAAGGACTCTCTCATCTGACATCCAAGTGTGACACAGGAAGTTGATGGACTCCATCTTTGCAAAGCTGCTTTGTTTTAAGGCTCCCTCTAAGTAACGGAAAACCTTGAACACACCATGTCCACTCACACACAGCTGCATATTATTATAAGGGTTGAAGCTGACCTGGTGAGACAGAAAATATATTCAGAGTGGTTGCTTGCACATATGTGGCTCAATCAAACATGACTCACTTTGGAAATAGGATTATTAGAGGTGGTTGTCTTCACTGTTGCCAGGACCTTGTTTTTTTCCCACAACCAAAGGACCAAAATCCACTCTGGGGCTCCTGTTTGGCTTATTAGAAATTTGGAATCAGGGGAGAAAGCCAAGCAAAGAAACTCTTTGTGGATGATATCGTCTGAAGCTAGAACTTTCCTCCTCCTGCCCTGCTCGTGCTGCAGGTCGAACACTGTGATGGCGGCCTTCTCTCCACACTCCGACACTGCCAAGTAACGGGAACTGGGACTGATGGCCATAGCACGCATGGCTTGACTGTTCTCCGAACCTGTGGGGAGAGCACACCTACTTAAAGGTAACCAAAAACAGCATTACTTTGGAGAAAACTGACACAATTACTATCAACAAAGTTAGAATTGAATAGCTTTCTTTAAATGTGTTGTTTTGTTAGTTTTCACACTCCAAATTAGATGTCAAATATCAGTCAAAATACCTGGAATGAATCTTTGAGATCCGTGGACAATGTTGTGGCACACGCAGCTGCTTCCACTGGGAAAGAGGACCGTTTGCTCGTCAACAAAACACAAATTGTTCGAAATACCTGGCCTCAGGCCGAAAACGAAGTGGGACGCCACACTGGCCATTTCACGTTAAACACTTTTTTAAATGCACAAACAAAAAATAAAAGTATCTAAAAAAGTTTCGCAACATATACACCTTGGTTATACGTAACTTTAATTTACGCAAACACAGCCTCTGAAAATCAGTAAAGAGCGGACGAGATCCAGTATTGCCTTCCGTGACTCAGAGTGATGTTGCTAAGCAACGACAGCGATTCCCCCGAGAATTACAAGAGAATACTCTAAACATTTGTACAATTTTGTAAAGATTGGCATTTTATTGCTGTCATGTAATATTATCCCCCCAGTCTCACTTTTTTAGTTTATTCACTTTTTTCTCTCATTAAAATTGGCTAATTAGACGTTTCTTCGCCAGTGACGACAATCTCGCGAGATTGTAAATTTCCCAGTCCTTTGGTGAACAAAATCAAATGGAATTACATGGATACTGATATCACCGCATTGTAATTAAATTTGATCTATTAAAGAAGGGATTATCATAAGATGTGTGTTTCAGACCAGCCACCTACTCAAATAAAATAAAAAATCCTTACTTAAATCCTCAACTGAATCCTTATTCAAAGAGCATTTATGAGAAAGACGTGATATTATAATAGGAAAGATTGAAACACAAGGGTTGTTAGAGAACCTGCTTTAATTAATTCTAAACTGTGGCAAATGGCTGTCAGAACAAAAGATCGAAGATGTAATAATACCAACATTAAACAACATGTAAACATCATTCTTATCCCGTCATACACGTCGCCATATGTCTGTATGACTGAAGTTTCACACTGATACATCCGCAGTTTCTTCTCATGAAGTAGTAACGGCTAATTGGTGTTGTACCGAAATAAACGTGAAAAACACTGCCACAGCGTAAAAAGACAGTCGCATTTTTATCGCGTGTAATCTAACATTTACAGCTCTACAATTACTGACATCCATCAACAGTATAATTCACAAATTATAACTGAATGAAAATGTATTTCCATGTTTGGTTGTTCTGTTATATATAATTTAATCTTTTGATGGCAAATAGCCTGGCTAACAGATATTATAAAAAAAAAAAGCTTATATTGACAAAACATGAATAGGCAAGATTTTTTTTTACATGTAACAAATTTCTTTGCAATAAAATGTTTGGACTACCACGTCTTTAAAAGGTAATACAGTTTGAGTATATCAGCTACATTACAATGAACTATACATATGAGTTAGCTGGATTGATCACTGATTCAGCAAAAGCACTCCGGTTTGTGGGCCCAGCAGGAGGCAGGCTTGTTCAGCAGGAGATGTGGAGGGCGCTGAGGGACTGCTGACTCCGGGTCTTCTCTAGAGGGCCACCACTAGACAGAATGTCACAAGCAGCCAGTTCATGATAGAGGGCATTTAGCACCTCCAGAATGTGGGCTTTGCCTGTGTAAAAATGAGAGCAGATGGGAGCTTAGGGGGGTTATGTTGCAGATGACCCAATGGGAACTTAATTAATTTCCATGCCCTGGCTAGCAGTTCATTTTCATTGTTGTATTTAACAGCACTTAAACTGATTTTACTGGCTGTACGAGCGCTACCTACCATGCTGCGGGTCGCTGCCAGACTCCAAAGTGCTGAGCAAGATTTTCCCAAGAGACCTCCGTGAGACATTCTGAAACAAGAGTTATTCTGTGAAAGCTAAAAGGCACTTTGATGGGAGAACTGACTCTTGTAACCACATAAGCTTTCACACATGTGAGACAAGTGATGTTAATTTGCACATTGTCACATGGTTAGAATACTAAAGAATAGACACCAAATACTGTTGCATTTTAACTTTGCACTGTATTATTTTAGCTTGACACAAGACTTCATTAAAAAGCCTTATTTATTTTCATTTTGCTTTTAAGCAGCCATACTTTCTTTCAGTCCTTTAAACGGTCTTGACCAATAGTTCTAAAGGCTTTCTAATGGCCTTGTCTTTGGACACTGGCAGCTCTGTAAGTAATTTTCAGTTCAGTCCTTTTACCAGTAAATTTGAGGAGACTCACGTGACTGCAAACAAACAAAATCCATAACTTTAGGGATAATCCAATTATGTTTTGTCAGTTACTACAGACTAATCTCATTTAAAAATTTGTTTTCAAGAGGATTCAGTCAAAGTTTAGATTTCTTTAGTTTATCTAAAATTTCAATCATAACACACTGAATACTATGAACAGCAATGTGTTTTCCAGAGATATTAGCTGTGTCTTTAAATGCAAGACACATTTGAAAAGTGAAAACAATTTGACAACCCCCCAGGGCACACAGACAATAAAACTGATCTGTGTCTAAAACCTAGGAATAACCGTCATGTTATGTCACAATATAATATTGTTGTTTCAAAAATCCTAGAGAGAAAATGTGCCATCTGAAATGAACAGCTTGCACTGGGGATATGTTTTTAAAAACGGTTTGTACCGCAGAACTAAGAGATCTCCTACCAATAGTTAGTGTAACAGCTCACTGGCATCAGACATTTTCCCAAGTCATTAAAAGCAGCCGTCATTCAGACATTCTTAAAGAAGACATCCCTAGATGCTTCTATGATGAACAACTACAGACCTGTCTCTAATCTCTCTCTTAGTATCCAATATTGGTGAGAAAGTTGTATTTCTCAGCAACTTTCTGAATGTGAGTGGAAATCTTGATAATTTTCAATCAAGCCTTCAATGGAATCACAGCACTGGGATAGCTCTGGTTAAAGTGTACAGTAACATTAGGTTGAACATTGATTCTGGTCATATTTCAGGCCTGGTTCTACTGGACCTCAGTGCTGCGTTAGATATAGCAGGACACAGAAACCTGTTACACAGGCTGGAAGACTGGGTTGGACTTTCTGGAGCAGTTCTTAACTGGTTCAGGTTCTACATAGAAGGCCGTAAATATTTTTGTGCCAGGTATGAATCTGAGTAAGTGGCCATAATGTGTGGAATCTCCTATGGGTATTTTCTTCTCTTCAACTTGTATATGCTCCCTTTGGGCCAGATATTACAGAACTTTAACACCAATTATCACAGTTATGCGGATGACACACAACTTTCACCAGAAAACTGCAGCTCAGCAAATGTACTGTGTCTGCGTCTGTAGGAAATAAATAGATGAGAGAGAATTTTCTACAATTATATGAAGATAAAACTGAGTATGTAACCTGGAGTACTGATGGACTCACATCCGACTTTAAGCAGCCACATCCAAGCTGTCACCAAAGCAGCTTTTCAACAAGCCAGAAACAGAAACAGAATTAAACATTTTCTCTCCCAAAAAGCTCATGCGAATCTAATCCATGCATTTATGTCAATTAGACTTGACTACTATAATAGTCTTTTAACCAGAACTAGGAAAACTCAACACATCACGCTAGTTTTAAAAACGTTATACTAGCTTCCAGTTAGCAACAGAATAGATTTTAACACCTTGCTGATTGTTTACAATTGCTAGAATAGTTTAGGCCCACAATACTGTACATCTGTGATATGTTCAGAGAATATAAACCCAGCAGAGCTCTTAGATCCACAGACTCTGGTCAGCTAGTCCACATTCAACATTAAGAAGCAGCATTTAGCTTTTAAGCTGCAAACAGGTTGAACAAACTGCCAGTGGAGATTTAAAACGTTTCTTTTCTCATGTGTCTATGCATTGAATCTGCACTGTATCTGTATACCTGCTTGTTTTTAGTCATTTTAATTATCAATTGAAATATATATATATTTTTTTATCTGTATATTCTTTTCTTAATGCTTGTTGACTGTTTTTTCTTCTGGTGTAATGATTCTGTTTGATGTAAAACACTTTGAATTGTTTTGTACATAAACAGTACAAGTATACAAATCAATCAGATTTGACTTAAACTTTGGAGAAAACTGGGTAGTTGAAAACAAAAGGCCTAACAATCTATCCACTGTAGACAATCCCACATTGCCCCAGCAGTGTTGACGCGGGGCTCTGGAGAGGATTCATTCTGCCATAAAACCCGTTGCCACTTATTTTTATTTCTTTTTAGTACGGCTCGTATGTTGCATGCTAAATCTCAACACGAAGCCTTTGCTGTTTGGTGCCTCAGAGGGAACAGCAGCCGTATGAAGAGCGTTCTGCTCACCAGCTCTCTGAGCTGCTGCAGGAGCTGCAGGATGTCAGCGAGCTTCTCCTCCACCACAGACAGACGCATCCTCTCTGTCTGCAGCTCCTCCTGCAGCAGCTCTGTCTGCCCAGCCTCCTGCTGGAGCTCCTGCACGAGGGAACCGGTCACCTGGTCACACACAGTACCACAACAGTTCACAATTTAGACACACTCTCCTGCTTGGATCAGGGTGAGGACTCTTTTTCACTATTTATGGTAACCTGGCCTAAAACAGCATCGATGTAAAATGTAAGATTATAATAATCTTTGAAAACATTTTCTCAGACAAAATGTTGTGAAAATGTATTTAAGTCATTTAACATTTGAGTAAAAGTACAAAATGAAGAACTGCATACGCTAAAAATACAGGACAGATTTTTTTTCCTTCTGGAGTATCTTTCCACATGTACCTTTTGCAAACCAATATGTACTGTCGTTTTTGGCAATAACACTATGTCTCACTCAGAAAAGAGAAAGACGTACATCTGCGCACATTCAGCTGTGGATAAATATAAACATTTTCTACTTGTTTTTTCCATCAGCAGGTTAAGGAGTCGGGACGTTACTGAGGAAAAAACCCAGACTTTGTCTCAGTAGTAAACATTGTGGCTTTACATAGCATTTAAAGTTCTGAGACATTTTTGGCTTTCCTTATCCTTAATACTTTTTATTTTGGTCAGTTCTTTATTGGTTTTTAATTAGTATCCGTATTTTAAAAGATAAGACAAAACACTGACCTGGAAAGGAGCAAAACACAAGCTTTGCACAAATAAAGCTTTTGGGAAAATCACCTGTAAAGTATCCTAATGGATAAAGTAAATGCATGTCAGTTGTTACGGATTATTCCAGGTCTGCATTTGTATGTGCTCAGGCCAAAAACTTCTGGAAATCCCTGTGGTGCACCTTTACGTCATTGTGAATTAAAGGACAAAGGTTTGACCCCACACATCCTGGACATAAACAAAGCCTCACAACCAGGACTTTGTTTAGGTTTAACTTTTCCTCCCTCAGTGCTGAGATGTTCTGGGAACTCATTACATCACTGTTTTCCTTCTGCCTGTCTTCCTGTGTTGTGAAAATAAAGCAGGGCTGTGCCCAGAGAGCTTTAATTCACTAAATTTCCAAGTGTTGTGCAGCAAAAAGAGGGAGTGTTTTTTGTGGTCAGCTACAGTGAGAAGCAGCTGTAGACACACATGTACACACACACACACACACACGCACACATGTACACACACACCCACCCACATGTGCACACAGAGGGAGGCTCTGCAGTCTGCTGGTTTGGTGAGGTGGAAGCTGAAGAGTTGTAGCATTAGCTGTGGTTTGGCCCTCCACGGTCATAACAGCCTTGGTCAGTCCTCTCTAATCTCGCTCAGTACTTTGAACACACACTCACAGTCTCCTCGTATGTGAGGCCAGGCAAAGCATCGTCCAGAGAAAAGCTTTTCCTCCTAAAGATTGGGACGTTGGCTGCTGAGCTCTGCGGGGGTCTGTACCTGGTCCAGGTCCAGCTGCGCCCGGCTCTCCTCCAGCTCCAGCTGCCTCTGGACGCCGGTCAGCCGCTCCAGGAGCTGCACCACAGCGCTGCAGCTCTCTGCACTCCTGGAGCATCCAAACCCAGACACCAGCTTTTTAAAGGCCTTGTCATCGCACCTGGTGAGAACACGTGACAGAGGACAGAGGTTGTATCTGGCGAGTCATGACTGCATTTATGTACGGTCATTTAGTCACTGAAGCTGAGATATGTGCTTTACCTTTGACCACAACACGAGAGCCTGCTCAGGATGCTCTTCACCTCCTCCACCTGCCTCTGCTGATGTCCACTCCACTTCTCCTCTTCTTCATCTGAAGCTGCCTGACCCTCTACTGACCGGAACAGCTGCTCCTCCACTGCACACCACACACCACAATCACTTCTACACACACCACAATTATCATTACTACCACTAAATGAATGTTTTTATAGTCTACATTTCACCTAATCAGGCAATAACTATAACAATATTCTCCATTTCAAAATCAACCAGTTAATCATGAAAATAAAAAACAATTTTAATTTAGAAAAAGAATCTTTACCTGAGCCTCTACAGACAGACGATATATTAAGGGAGACACTTGTTCATACTAAGGCACAAAATGACAGACCATCCCTCTCTTACCCGGGGTGGTCACAGCGCGGCCTGTGGGTGAGCGGCGGTCCTGTTGGGTGTCCAGGCAGCCCCTCTGAGTAGGCCTGCTGCTGACCCGCGGCTGCCCTGCCCCAGAGCTGCCGGGGGGGGGCGGCTTTAACACTTCTGACCTGAAAGAGAGGGCTGGAAGTTCAGCACAGCCACCTCAGTGCATGTGTTCTGTCCATCTGTGTTGCTATGAGTGCCTCTGTTTAGAAACTGATCAGAGGCCAAAACTACATTTCAGATTTACACATATGAGAGAAGCTGAGCCACTTTCAGACATCACAGAGAGACATACTGTAACAGAGGGAACTGTGTATGCTGCACATCTACAACTGCTAGGAGAATTTTATGGAGCCCATAATACTGTACACCATATCTGGGTGGGGTAATTAAAACCAGACGATATATCTTTGAAGCATTTTTACAGTAAAGTGGGACAGGGGTATTGGTTTGCAGGATGTTGTCTGTAAGATCTTAAAATAAAGGAATCAGCACAAGTTAGTTATTTTAAGAGCAACATAACCTTCTTTCTCATCTATATATATTTTTAACTGCAGATAAAAATATCTTCCAAATCATCTTTGTCTGTATTTATTGTATCATGTCGTAAGTCACATTCAAGCAGATAAAAGGCCAATGGCTGCAGTTTGGGCGGATCAATGGTTCTGTAATAGTTTGAGTTTTCAGGTTTTTTCGGCTGTCTGCTCTTTTGTGTAGGGGGAAATCCGATAGGGGGGCTTCATAAATCACTGCATAAGTGTTTCCAGATGATGATGCTTTGCCAGGGAAAAAAAAGAAAAAGAGAAAACCTCCAAAAGATTTTCAGCAGCCTGAAAGAAAAAAAGTCACAGAGCACTCATGCTTATATCCTGCTGCTGGCACACGGCAGCCTATGCCGCTCAACAACACTATTTCTGCTTCTAAGAACCACTGCACCTTCCAGTGTGCTTCTCTGCAGTGAAAAGATGAACTTTACTCAAAGTATTTGCAGCGTGATTCAATGCATTCAACCTCAGAGTTAGGTTTAAGTCATGGTTGGATCTATGGAGTTATTTAACTAGGGTCCGCAGTTGCTGTCAGACCAACATGGACGTGAAGACAAAACTTTCTAGTTGCTCTGGAAACACCACATCGAGGAATGAGCTTGTGGAGCTTTTGTTACATGCAGGGTACAGTGTGACAAACTAAACTTGAATCCATGCAGGTCAGAGAAAGACTGCAGCTTCAGGCAGTAAAGGCTGCAGTAAGGTTACGGCTTCTGTCAGCCTCTTAAGAACTATACTATACTATACTATACTATAGATACCATAACAAGTAAAAGCTCTAATCTCTGGGACAAATGAAAACTGGTGCTGATTTGTTTTCCAACAAAAGCCACATTCATACCCTTGAGAGGTTTGCCTTAGTATGTTAGGACATTAATGAAGCACTAAGATCTGTATGGTGGAGGTGTTAAGGATGGAAATTCAAACATGGTGTGAAGTTTTTTTGCAAAAGCAAAGACTCCTCACACCAGTCCACTTAGACATACTGATTTATAAACATTTACATGTCTCAGTTATCTTTCACATTTCGAATGAATAATTGATTAACTGTTAAGCTTGAACCCTCAGTTTTACATTATTTCACAATGATAAACCCAGAAAATACTTTGTGTACAAGTATTAGAGATTATTTAAAATATTCATATTTTTTATAAACAGAGCATTTTGGCATCTCATAGCTGTAGTTTGGGGACAGTCAGTTATTTCAATAAAAAAAGATGAGTTACTTTCTTCACACAAAATAATTCCAACACAGCACGAGTGACAAGCTGATAAACTTCAGGTGGACACACTTAGGGGAATTTTTTTAATTTGTTGTGGAGAGGAATTTAAGCATATCATTTTCTATACTATTCAACATTTTGTGTTAGCAGGTAGCTAAGAGAAACTTATATACCGTTAACAGTAATATAAAAGGACTAGTTTGCAGAGCTCCAACTCCAAAAGCTCGTTATGCTGGTCTGCAGTCTCAGCTTTTCAAAAGGTTTTAACCATCTCTCATCTATTTTTTCATTGATGTTCAATTAGTTTCAGCCCCACAAATCAAAGGTGTTCATGTTTTCACTAATCCAAATCTAATTCTACAATACACTACGAATAAAGCACCAAATAGGGTGAAAATCATTGTAAATGTACCTCAATTGATACACATAACATTTTTTCAATCTTAAGTGGAAACAAAGTACTTTTCATAAAAACACACAATGTACATCAATGTTAAAGCTTTTAATTGGCAAATTAGTAATATTATTGATTGTATAAGGAAGCATTATTTAGATCCTAATGTACAAGTTACATCCCAAAAGGCACACACACAAACACACACAAGTAAAATTGTACATGTGTTTACTTGTGCTCCTTTGGGGCATTTCTAATCAACAACATTATGCATTCTATTAGAAATATGTAAAAGCTGTTTATACTCCTGGGAGTTGGTTCAGCTGTTGGCTGTTAGAGCTGGGAGACCCAGAATCCTCTCTGTGTTTGTCGGGTTGCAGTGCTGAAGTGAACTTTACAATAACAAAACCCCCATCAGTGTTCACCCTCTCATTCCCACCAGGGCAGTTTCCTCTTTCAGGTGTCATCGGCTGATGACTGTTCCTTCTCTGCTGAACTTAAATAGTGAGCGCGTCACAAACCTAAACTTAAACCTTAAGCTTGATGCTTGTTGGTGCCCTGTTTTATGGCAGAAGTAGGAGAGTTGAGGTCTTGTTTACAGTGTTGTTGGGTTTTAGTCAAACCTTTCTGGCCTCACACTCGAACAACAAAGTTTTTTTCTGGGATACAAATGAAGTTTAGTGACGTGATAATTGTTTAGGACTAACTGTGGACTTAATCGAAAAAACAGTGCCTGTAATATTTATAGAGCTCTCCTTAGCAACAAAAATATATAATCACCAAAGTCAAACAAAGAATGTCATTAAAAGTAGAAAGTAGAGAAATCCAAAGAGTGCGGATGGAACAAGTTCATAAGATACTTTGTTTGTGATGTATGTTTGCTGATGTAAGCATAGCTCTAAACTAGAGAGAGCAGGACAAAAGTACACTGTGAAAACGTATTTTTGAAGGCTGTTAAAAAACAACAGAATGGCAGTGAGGGAAAACCGCCATAGGGTAACACTGTTCAGCCCATTCTATTTAAAAAGTATGAATACCCTGGTAGCACCTGCTTCACACAATAATGAAGCCCCTTTGCCTGGACTGATAAATGGTCTTCTAGACCCTCCTCTATTCTCAGGCACCATGCAGGAGCATGAAAAGGCTGGGAGATTATACCTCCCTCGGGGCCGGCCTTCAGATGGCCAGGGTTAGGCTAACAGCAGGAAAGTCTGCTGGTGTGCCATTAAACTAAAATTGAGTTTTAAACTTTGCATGTTAGAGTGTATGTAATCCATTTGCTTTCTCAGTATTGGTGGAAAAGTGAGACTCATAGAATAAAGTGAACAGTCAAACTAAATTGGTCAAAGCTCATTTAAATGAAGGAGGATGACTTTGCATTTCATGTCTTTTCTTTTAGGTACAAATTTGAGGCAAAAAGATCAATTACACCATTGATCTCATGCAGGCCTTGGAAAAAATGCTGGTCTTTTAATGAACAAACAGCAGTGTTTAACTCTTCCTCCTTTTCTCTTTTCTTTTAATTATTTTTTTGTTTCTCCTGCTGTGCTTCATATTGTCTAATCCTTGTGCCTGCAAAAGCTCTGTAGGCTTAATTTACAGTATTAGGCTGCATTCACCTTTAAAGTGCTAAAAGTAACACTTTTAGTTAATCATGGCAAAAATAAATACATAATCAGAACCGAGTATTGGCTGTTCAACACGTTGCTTCTGTGAGACTCTCAGACTGGCCTCTTCCCACACATTCAATCCAAAGCAACTGCAGACTAGTTATGGGGCAACACTCACACACCTACAGTATTAAACTGACGACAACTTTTAAAATACTAACTTCTTTTGGTGAGTTGACTGGAAGTAGAGGAAGAATTCTTCCCTTAGATAAAAAAACTCATGTTCCACACGAAAAGGAAAAAGTGAATCAAGATGCAAATCAGAAACAAGTCCCATGTTCCTAGAAAAATGCTTTTCAGCTGTGATACTGTGAGCTAGATTAAAAAAAGAACTAAACTAAACTAAGAGGGATCTGGGTGCATCTATTACGCTCCTATCTCAGTCTCAACAGACCTGCGTTTGTTAGTTAAATATTAACATTTTTGACAGTACAGTCACAAAAAGACTGAACAACTATTGCTGATTTGGAAGGGATGCAGGAGAAAATGTTAGTTTGTTAAGCTACATCCGAACAAACCCCAAGACTTCTGGAACAATGTCCCTTGGACGGATCAGTCCAAAGTGAAGATTTCTGGTTATTGCGCACAACTCTATGTTTGGTAAAAGTAGGCATACCAACTGTCAGCATTGTGGTGGAGAGAGAATGATTTAGGCTTGTTTTGCAGCTACAGGATTTGTTACTGAATCAACCATGAACATCTGAGTATACCAAAAATATTTGAGGTGTATATTTTGATTGAACCTGGGCTATTAACACGATCTCAACCTGATTGAAATGCTGTTGTGGAATCTTAAAAGAGCTGCACAGATACAGATGCTACAACCTTAAACAGAAGTGCTTCCATAGAATAGGTGTGTCTAAATTCTTCGGAAAATTTTATGTGATCATCTCTCCTTATTTTTAAAAAATTATGTCAAATTAATCTATACAAATCACCAACAGCAATAAGTCAGTACAATCAAAATCTTCAACTGTATACTTTGCTGTTTGTAGCAGTTTAGCTAAGGACAGATCAACAGCAGGCCAGTAATATCAGCTCACCAACCCTGCATCCTCATCTTAATACGTCTTCAGATCACAAAGATTCAGTAGCTCTTGACTATTCAGTTGCTCTTAGCATTGTATTTTAGAAAAGAGCCATGTGGATATAGTTACAGGCAGCCCTGTCAACAGAATCCTCACCATGATACTCAGTCCACATGCTCTGGGACATATGGCACCGAAGAAGACTTGCTTTATTTCTGTCCTGCTATTTTAGAGCAAGAAGTAAAAGGCAAACAAGAAGTTCTCACTTAAATTGTAAACAGTTCACCTGACTGTCTTTTCTAACAGATTTGTTGGAATGACATGGAACTAAGGACCCATTGAGCCTTTCAGCTAGAATGTGCACAGGGGCTTAGTTGCTAAGATCCATAGGACAAGGGGGCCTAAAGGTTATTGTTCATTTGGGGGGCAGAGTGAAAGAAGTGAGAAGAGATTGATGAGAAATGTCAGTCTGCTGAGATTCTCATTCAACACGGCTCCCATTCGCCTTTGTGGCACTGAATTATTTGCCATTAGGACATCCACGGAAGGGTAGTGAAAAGACTTTGGAACATAGTGTGCATAGATTAGAGTTTAGGGTACTAGGAAAAGTACTGTGGTTAGTTGAATTTGTTATTCGGAATAACCTAAAAGCAGGTAGAGGAGTTTAATCATAAGATTCTGGTTGTGCATGACTGAGTCTTAGACTTCATAATAGCAGCATAAAGGAGACATTACAAGCATTTAGAGGTATCTCCTATCGAAGTGAACCAGACCTGCAGACAGTGATTATACGGTAGGTGCAGGGACAACGACACAGATATAAACACTAAACCCGTAGCTTTGTGCTTTAAAAGTCAAATTACACCCGTACTCCGACCAAAATGAATAGTTCCCAACAGTAGCGGCACTCAGACAGCACAGGCCTGCCACACACGAAGCCTGCTCAATAAACTCAAACACAACAGGGCTGAAAATTGCAATAGTAAACCACATCAAGACTTCAAAATAGCACGGCACAGCTTTGCAGGCTCAAGCCAGAGGGAAACAGAATCATTTGATTCTGCTGTCAGAGGAATTAGAATTCATTATGGTTCATTCCAGCCACAAAGGCTCCTCTGAAGCTACAGTCTGCCAAAACAAGCCCTCTTTTCTTATAACATGTGGAACTGCAGGACTTGTTTTGGTTATCTCTCACAGGCAATGTGAGATTGCAGAGGGAGGACTACCTTACCCATGCATTCACTCTACATTCATCAGGAAGATACATCAAGTAACTAATATTTCTAATGTCTCTTTTACCTTAAAATACCTCCACTCCCAAGGCAGAACTGTATTTAAATTCTGTGTTAAGAACTATGTATATGTCTGCGGTACTCCTCCCTCAGTCTCAATAATCCATCAGTTCATACCCTTAAATACAAAAAATACAAAAAGGCATACTGCCAAGTATGGCAGGAGAGTAAAACAGCTCACATGAGCTCTTCCACAACAGAGCAGATATCAGTCACCTCACATTGTGAGATGCAAATTATGAAAAATTCCTCTTTTCACTGATGACGCTGTTTTCATTTGTATTTGTAGGAGCACACAACACAGTGGTCATAGTTATAGACAGTCTGGACATTAAAATGAAGTGATTTAATCTGTTCCTAATCTTTGTTGTTCTTTTTTCTTTACCTGTAGTGGAGGAGCTCTGATTCCAGCTGGAGAATGTGTCTCTGCAGAGCTGTAACCTGGCTGGCCTTTGCTTCCAGCTCCCTCACTTTGCCCAGTCCATTGAGCAGGGCCTGTCTGGCTTCCTCCACCTTCCTCCTCATGGCCACCTGCTCCCTCCTCAGAGACCGGTTACAGTCCTCCAGAGCAGCCACCGTCTCCCTGCAGCTCCACAGTTCCTGCTCCAGCCTCTGATTACACTGCATGGCCTCCTCCACCTGCTGGTCTCTGGAGCTGCGGAGCAGGTCTATCTCATGGAGAATGTTCTGTAAGCTCTTTAGGTTGCTGTTAGAGCTGCTGTTGAGGTTGGAATTTGAAAGACATTTCTGGGCAGCTTCTCTTGACTGTGAAATAAAACATCCTTCTTCTGGTTTATGTTTGGAGGGACTTTTCCAGAGTCCTACCTGAGGGGAAGAGGAACAAGTGACCTGAAGGGGCAAGATCCAAATATTTGCAAACACAGTTCAGAATTAGCAGAGAAAATGCACGTTTTTTAAAAACATGTGTACTGTGGTTAGTGGTTTTCTTAGACACAGACGTCCATAAAGTTGGAATAAGATGCTTTTCACCACCTCTCATGAAATGGTTGTGGCTGTGGGAGTGTAAAGTTTTGCCTTGTAAAATATCTTCTCAAAACTTTATTGATCAGTCTTTATAAAGTTAATTATTGGTTTAAAAATAGAAATAAGATGAGAAACCATCCCAGCTTTATGAGTAACAGTGTAGACTGCGTACAAAAAAAGTCACTCCCTGGGGTTTCAGTTGCTGGTTAGTCAAACCAGCTAAAACTCTTTGTTCTCTGCTGCTCTTCTTAACATTTCTTTGAATTTAATTTAGCTTATTCAAAGAGCGTCACCTTACAATAAAACTCATCTCTGGATAATTTTGCATAATGCTAATTAAAGTTGATTCAATTATCATGCGTCACTAAAGATAAATTCAAATGGAATAATTGATCAATTTGTAAATGTTTCGTATCTAGGTTTTTTTTCCTCTATGGTTACTAAATCATTAAGTGAAAATAAACTAATTAAGTCCAGCACAATACAGTTTCTTCCAATATATTCCAGTTATTGTAATGTGAATGATCTAGTTCAGTCTACTTTAATTCAAATCACTGTAGTCCAATTCTATTCTGTCCAATCTAATTGAATTCCATGTTTTTAATCCTAATTTGTAATTGGAAATCTGGCAATGGGAACGAAGTGTTTATGCTTATAGGGTGCCAGGCTGGTGAAAAACTCTGTTAACCATTGTTAGTACAAACGTGAATATCTTCGAACTGCAAACCCATTGAATCATCACAATAACTTGATCTAAAATTTTACAAGCAAACTGACCCATTAAGCATCTCCCACGCACGCACTATTTTCCGTATTTGAGCCCGGACTATCTATTAAGGTCACATCTACTCCTGAACAGTCATGATTATGGGACTGAAACCAATGGCAACTTGTTTTGTTACAAGCTAAAGAATGGTCAGACATCACTAAATACTGCAAGGGGGATTAATGTCTGGTAGTTAGCTTTGCCTGATTGGTGATAAGTTAGTTTCCACTTGAACCTCTTAATAAAGCCTATAACTTCACCATGATGTTTTTATTGCGGGTCATAAATGACCCATTAGTTATGTATTGATTTACTGTGGGTGATGCTGGCAGCAGAGTTACTCTACAGGTGTGTGTGGGGGTGGCTGTGCTGGGGGGTTTCTGCAGCAGACTGGTGCCCCCCCCCCTCACCTGCAGGGCCAGGCAGCGGGCATCACTGCTCTGGAGGGCCGCCCTCATGTCCTCTATCAGCTCCCGCAGGCTGGCGTTCTCATCCTCCAGTTTACCCACCCGGTCCTCCGCCTCCTCCAGGGCCACGATCTCCTCGTAGCAGTCCTTGGTGCAGGAGCCCGGGCCCCTGCAGCCGGGGGCCGGGCCCCTGCAGCCGGGGGCCGGGCCCCCGCAGCCGGGGGCGTGCCGCTGCTCGGGGGAGGGGGGGCAGCCGCAGCCCCCCCCCGCGGACGGGAGCCTCTCCCGCCGCTTCAGAGGGCTCCTCAGGCGGATCTGGGTCTCGATGTGCCGGCTGTCCTTCCCCACCAGCAGCCGGCCGTCCTCGTACCGGCAGCCCGCCCTGGAGCTGAAGTGGCCGCAGAGGAGAGCGTGGAAGCGCCTGAAGGACAGCAGGCTGGGCAGGGCTTCTGGAACACCCGCACTCTCACTGTGGTCCGGGTCTCTGCGCAGACCCAAAACTTCACACAACACCTTAAAATCCTCCACAGGGATTTGACCGGCTCCGTGATAGTCCAGATGGTGGAAAATCTCCTGCAGGTACTGATCCAACCCCGTGGCCAGCACGATTATTTCGTTCTCCACGCCCCGGTCCAGCCCGTAGTGGTAGGCCAGCGTGCTGACCACCCACTGCGTCCTGCGGGCCGGCCGCCGGTACGGGTCACTGCTGTCCATGGCTGCCCCCGGTGACCAGCAGCATCTCTGTGAAGGGGACGGTTAACTCGTGTGCTTCAGCAGCGTCCTGTGCGCGTGCACTGGTCTCCGGGCTGAAGCCTGCAGCGGACTGGGGGAGGCACAGTGAGGCGTGTGTTAGGAATGAGCGAGTTTGAGTTAAGCACTGCCCCCAAAATCCACCACAAGAGCTCCAAACCGGCCCCCACAAACTCACGCACCCACATTATGATGCCGCCAGCCGGAGCCCAGGCTAATTACCTCCAGGTGTGAAAACCTTTGTGTTCACCTGGGTCAGACCTGGTTAAGATGGAGGATGCCCAAGAGAGCAATACAGAGCAAACAGAGGAATGCGAGCTCTTTTCAGCTGCTAACTTTTACCCGTGTGGTCTGTGTTTAAAGCACATATTTGAATTGAGTTTTGTTTTAGTTTTTTGCTCAATTTGCAAAACTCCTTTTTTGTGATGAGATCACATGTATAAACCTTCCTGTTTTACTTTCCACAGTAGTGCGCATGCGGATACTTAAACGGTTGACTCCATATTAAAATCTGTATTTACATCAGCTTGCTGATCACCATACAAGTATAATCTCATTTGCCCCTCTTCCTGATAAATCAGTCGTTTGACACAATGTTTGCGAAATAGACAAACAAACAAAAAAAGTGAGCTAAAACCGTTGACCAAGGCATGTTATGTTTTTTGCATTTGTCGAATAATAATAATTTGGAATGAAAAATTAAGTAACTATTTTTTTCTTTTAGTTTTTTTTCGGGATATACTTGTACGGTAAAATGTCCACTGAGTTTAAGGATGACCAAGCTTTTAAAACCAACTCTAAATGAAGATAGTTTGACGTGTGTTCAAACCCATTTCCTGAAGTGGGGTTGCGCAGCGACGCGTCGCTTCCATGGCAACCACGCAGGCTAAAGTCGGTGTGACCAGCACGAGCCTTTCTCCAGCTCACACAGCTTTCACCGGACATGTTGGCCGAGACGAGTAGGCAGATTTCGGCCCCTAATTCCGGATAAATTGTCAAGAAAAGAGGTACGTGTAAGATAGAAATGTCCCCATTAAAACTTTTAGGAAAGACTTGAACTGCTGCTAAACTAGGTTGGCTCCGCCCAAAACTCGTCACGTGACAACGTTGCGTGAGGTTTTGAAAATGTTTAGATCTAAAAACTGCTAATATTGACGATTAAAAAATATTGTCCTTTTCTTAAATATTTCTTCCTGAAATTCCTAGTTTACATATTCGGTTAACGGAATAGAAAGCAGACTTGTCCCCGTTTTTTAACAGCTAAATGTACTTTGAGACCACTTTAAAAGTATATTTCCACTCAAATATGAAACAGTATTTGACGTACTTGTAATGGTAATGGTTGACATATGTTTTACAGGATTTTGGCTGAAAGTTTTTTAAACTGACTGCCAGATGACAACATTATACATACAAATACATGCATAAACCAGTGAAAACTGTCACTTATAAAAAGATCAATTAAAAAAGATTTCAAGAAAAATATTAACAGAGAATTCTGAATAGTTTTTGCAGATATAAATAACAGTATAGGGGAGGAGGGTACAGTCAGGAAAAACCTCATCAGTTGGATACTTTGGTCTGAGAAGCCTCACCTTCAACATGCTGTAATGGCTGTTATTGGTCACTATTCTGAAACTAACCCCACATCGTGGTTGAGCATAGAGCAGCACACAGACCCATCAGACTCATCACACATTATAAGTTCCGTCCAATAGATTTCCAAGGACCACAGCCACTTTAGACAGCAGACTGCTCTGACCTTTCTTTTTGCACTCCCTCCACTTTATTGTTGCTATGCACACTGAGATATTTACAGAAAGAGGGGGTACTGATTTTGTACTTGCCCTTAAATCCACAACCAGCTTTTTTAAAAACTTTTAACAGCAGATGGTTCTGCTCACCATGTGACAGGGTTGTCTCTCGGTGTTTGGCCTCCTCACTTTCTCTGATGCAGTTAATCACATGTCGTCATAAAACTTGTTCTCTGTGTCCTGAGAGAAAAGGGACTTTTACAGCCACTGACTGATTAAAAAGAAAGTTTTATATTAAACCCTTTCTTTCAGAGCTTTGCATGGATACCACAGCATTGAGAGCAGACCCCATGGCCAACATGTCAGAGACAAGTTTTGATATTTCACAGGAAAACTGTGAAGCTGGAGCCAGAGACCAAGGACAAGGTGTCCTGATATCTGAGAGCATGTTTGTAGAAGATAGCTTAGAAAATAGCTTTGCTTCAACTGATGACGTCCCAGCACAAACAAATGACAGCTCCCATTACGTCACATGGACAGTTTACATTGCTGTAGCTATTCCAAAAGGTAAGTGGATTTTTAAAACATATTCTATGTTACATGAGTTCCATTATGATGTCTAAACCTGAAGCAAAAGCTATATAAAAAGGGTGATAGATTGTGTTATGACTTGATTATTTATAGATAGATAGATAGATAGATAGATAGATAGATAGATAGATAGATAGATAGATAGATAGATAGATAGATAGATAGATAGATAGATAGATAGAGAGAGAGATCCTTTACTTTGATTTAATCTATCAAAATGTATTATTTTTCAGCGGATGAAACTGATGCACCCAAAGCTTCTAATAAGGCACGCAGAAATGACAAAAGTTCATCCCAAGTTATGGTGAAAACTCATAAATCTCAGAGCTGTTATCACTTTGAATTCACATTGCTGCCAGATGATGCAGAAAAAGTCAAAGTGGACCTGATAGATTTTGGACCAGTAGCAAAAATATACAGAGAAAATGAGACGAAGGTAAACAAGACTCGTCATATTATTTCTCAGTTTATGTTCCCTTAAAGAAGAATTCAAAATATTCTGAATGATCAAGAATAAAGCAGATAGAGGAATAAAAAAAAAAAACCTATCTGGGTACATATTACCAAAAAGAGAAAGAATTCTGATTAGATACATACCTCAATACAAAGTGCTGCTATCTAACATTTGTAATTATCAGGGCCCCAACCATGACAAAAGTATACATCTTTTAACAGATTCTGAGGACGTGGTATGAAGGAAAGAAGACGTGGGTTGGATGGGCCCAAGATTTTAATGTCAGGGTCAACGAGGCCACAGTGATCAATTTACTTTCTCAGAAAATCAAGCTTAACATATGGAACGGCAACGAGGAACTTTCCAACCAAGCCCGCTACGAAAGACTAAAAGCAATCCGTCTGCCTCAGGATGAGTCTGAATATGCAGCAGACGTCTATGGTGGTTTCACATGGCCCTGGAAAAAATAACCAAACACTGCACTCTTTTGGAACACAATATTTTGACAAAGAATGTGTTTATTTTTGCTTTAAGGTGGTGTCAAGGCTATGGTGAAAAGGATGAGAAATGTTTGTGAGGGGAGGTCAACAACAACAAAACATAAAGGGGATTTATTCTTCGGTTGCAGTTCAGAGAGGAGCCCAGAATCAGGTAAGTTTATGGTCCGTGCACGATTTTAGGTGACTCTTCCACAATCAAAGAAGGATGTACACTTGTGATTAATAGTTTCTATTGATATAATGCTGATATAACTCCTGAGTCTATTTTTCAGATTCCAATGACTTGGTTAACTCTCAACTTTTGAAAACAGAGTCGTGTGTCCCTGAAGACATAAAAAAGATCAGCTCTGCATTAGTGGAGATCAGTCCTGTTAATTTGGTAGCCGGTGAGTCAACTTTTCATTCGCTGGAATGGCTTTAGATGAAAAACAAAGCCATTTCCATTCGTAGTCCTTTTTCACACGGTACATGTTCCCTGGTGACCACAATTTATAAAACCGATTCTTTGTTTAAGAAGTGAAATGATCCAAAATTCACTTCTTAACAGAACAAAGAGATAAGAAGAGTCTAGGAAAGTAAACTTTGTAACTTACTAGAGTACCTACATTTGTAGAACTAGAACAAAATCAGAGTTTTTTGTACTTACCCTGAGTGTATATATTTTAATGCACACATCTCATCTTTTTCTTCTCAAATATTTTTCATTATTGATCATTTTGGTGAACTGTCAATGCAAGATGTTTTTGTGTTGAACTTTTACAGATAAAGACTCAGGGTTTGAAGTCATTGTCATGCATTGGTCAGTTTTCAAAAGTTACCTGTTGCTTCATGCAAAAAAATAGATCAGTGGGTTTTATCGACAGTTAAAGAAAACAAAAAAAAACAGGACCTTTGAAATCTTTCAGTTGGGGGACCCCTTAGAGATTGAAAGGATGGAGACATCTTTTACCCACTTTTTCAGATCATGCTGAACTGACCACTAGACAGTGTGATAATGACGTATGATGTAACCTACTTGACACAGTCACAGTACTGTAGAGTCACAGTACTGTAGAGTCACAGTACTGTAGAGTCACAGTACTGTTAAATAAAGGCCCCTCAAGACAGTGCAGCATTGCAGCAGCAGTGTTCATTTAAGGTAAAGAAAGGAAAAGAAAAGGAGAACCTGTCACAGAACAAAGGATTAGATCATACAATTGTAAATAAAGAACACTTATACACAGCCTGGCAGAAATGTGATTTATTTTTTTCCAAGTGAACCCTGGAGCATTTTGGTTTGAGTTAGAAATAGAAGCAGACTATCCAGAAGGCAAAATGAGGATAAATATGTACTCTGAATAACTTGTTTGCTCTCGGTAATCTTGTGTTTTGGTCTCCGGCTCTTTATCGTCTTTTTCAGTTCTGCTGTATTTGTCTCGAATGCAGAGACAGCTGCTCATACTGAGAACATTATTGAGAAATAGCAAAAGGGTTAAAAGGCCAAAGTAAAAACAGAAATCCTAACGCTGCACACATTCTTGTTTGCGGTTTTTGTAATGCTGGAAGGGATTGATTCCTGTTTTGAGGTTTTTCAGACAAACCCAAGGAAATTACACCGTACAGAAATGTTAAGTTCAGTTAAGTTTTATTAATTTAACCTCCTGAGACCCTGTATCCGCATATGAGGACATTGCATTTTTGCCTCTTTTTACCATGATACTTCTTTTTCTTTCGACTTTGACCCCTTGGCCTCATAGCAGACGCTATCAGACACTACTGTTTGAAATCTAAAGTAAAATGGTTTTATTCATTTTTAACCAATCATGTTTTGATTGTGTAATTAAAATGTTGTAAATAAGTCATTTTGACTGTTTACACCGTGTATAAAGATAAACCCGAGGAAAAACTTCCTGTACCGTGACAAAGTTTAGTTATTAAACTTATTATGTTTTATTAATCCCATATATCTTCAAAAAAGCAAAAATGCACACCAAATAAAAGCTCAGGTCTGAGGAGGATAATGGAAAAAACTATGAATGTAATCCCACTTGATATGACACTTCAAAGATACAATCCAGTTCTAGCCAATTAGATTCTAGTTTATTATTATACGATCAGAGTCCTATCAGTTCCAGTTCATTAGCTTAAGTTACAATTCCAATTTAAAAGTCTTCTAAGGAGAACAACAGATTGTTCCGATCCAATCCTCTATCCTGAGAATACACGAGGAAAAAAATCCCTTTTAACAAGAAGAAACCTCTGGTGGAACCAGGCTCAGGGGTCGTGGCCACAGCCATTCACAGATACCTGAGGAGAAAAAATGCAATGTAGTAACAGAGACGGATCTGAAAACTGAGGGCTTTGCCTTCCATTCTATTTTTACAAAAATCTAGCAACCATAAGTAGACCTGCAGTCTGAGAGTGAAGTCTTTAAGACACGATGAAGCTTGTCATCAAAAGCTTTGTATGTGAAGAGCAGAACAATAAATTCTATTGTTTCTCTATTCTATTATCTCTCTTTCTAGTTTTCAAATGGACTTTGGGTTCAGCAATTTGGATCAGCTGAAGGCTTCTCAGATCAATTTAGTGACAGCCCAAAAATAGAAAATGGTAATTCAAGTCTAATCTTGAAGTAATATAGGCACTTACCAGTTTTTCTGCATTACTCTGAGATTGAATGTCCCTAATTTTGGCAATGTTAGAAATCTGAAAGAAGACAATTCAAAAACCCGTTTTGGATGTGAGTGAAAAGACACTTGCAAAGTTCCACACCTGTAACAGAAGGTTTATTTTCTACAACCATTCTAAATACCTTTGTTGCTAAAGTATGAATGTAACAAAATAACCTAAAACCTTTTAAGTGTTAACATGGAATATATGATGCTTTTCTTTTACTAACAGGTGAGATTTCGTTGACTGAGTGCTTCCCACTTTGTTCTGCTGGTGTATTGGATATCATGTGCCACATCTCTCTGGATAGACCATTACTGTCAGAGCAACTGAGATCTGAACTAAATCCTCTGGTCATTACAATCTTGTCAGCAACATCAATGCCATCAACACCAGTTCCTTTCCACATACTTCAGGTATGACCCTCACATCACTTTTTTTTATTGTTCTTGAATTAAAACATACATTGCAAATGTGTTCTAATGTAAATCTATCTTTTACAAATACTTTTTGCAGGAGACGTGCATGCCTGTGTATTGCCAGTATAAGTTCCATCATTTGAAAGTCCACAGGACAAACCCTCACAAGCATAGTTCAAATATCTACTTTAGAGATGTGAATGTGATTCTGACTGGTTTGATGAGCCCTAAAGAGCTCCACGAGCTCTTTTGTGGTCCACCCCTGGAGATAGAGGTCCATGACCGTGACTTAAAGCCGGGAGATTCACTGAATTCTCCTGCGACATTTGATTCTGGACCTGATAGTGATACCGACTGTAGTGGGGAGCTATCAGAGCAAAAGACTTCCCACGCTCACACCTATGGCATTGCCAGCTTAAATCTCTCAGAGCTGCTTTTTGGGAGAAGATGTTTTAAAGCGCTCTTACCAATCAAGTGCTCCCCTTCCCCTGTGCCTATGGACTGGGAACAAAACAGGCCAAAGAACAAGAACGTAGACACAGCAGTATCCAGAGACCACATACGTCAGGGCTACTATTATGATGCAAATTCTCAACTCAAAGTCACAGTGGAGATAGCCTGCCCCGTCGTCTTAAAGAACGGCAATGGGATGGACTTTTGTAGTACTCCATTTGGGCGCATTGTCTACTTATTTGGATACAGCAACTCTGCAGTGATGAAGAAGCTGAGGGCTGAGATTCTCAATATCAACGCAGCAGCTTTTCATCTGGGCCAAGAATCACTGGAATGTATAGAAACAGCCCTTTCAAATTATGTCATTAATTTTAAGCATGATGAGAGCAAGGATCTGGATTTTGTGACAGGATTCCATGTGCTAGATAAGAAGACTCACATCGTTGTTCTTGAGGGGCTGAAAGACAAAGCAGTGAAGAGACTTTGGAAAACCGTTCCAATGAAGTAAGTCCTGGATCACCATCTTTCCCCAGGAGCCATTGTTAACAGTTTTCAGCTGTGCTGTTTCTGAGTTTTGGGTCATGGGGGAGGGGGGTGGAGGTGGTGAGTGTTTAGATTTCAGTGACAGCCCATGACATATTTTGCAGGCTAAGTGAGAATGAGGATGAGCAGGTGATAGTCCTCTACAATTCAAAGCTGAGTTTCTTCAAACGCATCTATGACTCACTCCATGTTGGCCTGAGTCCAATCTGTCTGTGTAAATCACTGGAGACCATCATGAGGAACCCTCTGATCTACGTTAGAGGAATGGTCCCCCAGCCATGCTTCCAAGCGTTGTCAAGGTAGGCCATGAAAGGGAATTGTGCAGACAATAAACCTTTTTTTGTGCAGACAATCAACTATTTTTAATGTAATAGCCTACTTACCGACAGTGAAAAGGCAGACATAATGTAAAGTATCCCTGCAGAGAGCCAACATCCATATCCAACAGAAACGCAGCAATATTTTAGCACCCCACTGAAGTTCATTTTCTTTCTTTACTCTGTATAATTCTGATTGGTCTCCAATAGCTTTTGGGCCTTCAGCAGTTGCTGTTTTGTTCTCGTACTGTTAGCTGACTGAAAACTTTAGTCAGTGAGAATAAGTGAGATAATAGACCAGATTGTTAATAAATGTGCATGAACATGAATGGATGAAGCACACTATTTTGATTAGCTGGTTATATAAGATTATGGACTACTCCAACCAATTTTTTTGCAAATGTTTTGGTAATTTTTGGTAGTTTTACCTCACACAGTGATGAATCGTATGCAGGCCCCTCTGGTCAAACCTCAGATCCGATTTGGTTCATTGTAACGATCTGCTCATTGATTGATGTATGTGATGTTTCCTCTTCTGGTGACTCAGACAGAAACAATGGGGGGCTCCCATCACCTGCCTTCATCAGGGTTCACATGCACATCTCCACTAACATTTCTTCCTTTATTAATAGATCTGTCAGGACACACTCATCATAGACCTTTTCATTTCTCATCATCATTAGTCTGTTCCACAGTAAGATACATTGATTTAATTTAAAATGTATTCAAATGATTTATCTTTTAAGATTCTATCTAAATGTATGATAAATTACACAGATCATGATATTATGTAGTAATATTATGTAGGACTACTGCCCACTATGCTGAGTTGCCTTTGCAAAATTCTCCTTTGCATATTCAGCTGAAATGTTTAAAATCAGCCTCCTGCTCCAAGCCACTTCTCTGTATTTGTTTCTCTCAGTCACTCACAATGATGCTACTGCCCAACAAATGGCTTTAAAATAATGCCCTGCATCACAGATTTATTGAAGACAGACAAACTGTTGGTGCAAAAACTGAGGAACCAACAGAAGTCGATAGTTCTATAACTTCTTATGGATAGTCCAAGTATTGTCCTAGTGAATCCACTGCACCAACCTCTACTCCAAAGTTTTAATATTATTTGGATTGTTCTCATCCTTTCATGCCAAAAAGTGCCATTTGCTTTACTCAGCTGCCTGTCCATTTCTGATTCACCCAACAACAGTCATCATACTAATTCTTGACAGCTTACTGAGTTATTGACTGAGTAATTCAGGAAACCAGAGATGTAGAGAGTAAACAGAAATGGTGAGATTAAGTTCCCCTTTGATGTTGCTATTCTATTTAAAAATTCTGAAAAATAGTGGTATATTAAAGAATTATGTTAGAAGGACTGAAGAAATCAAATTAAATGATTCACACTTTGTTGCTCGCTTTACAGACTTAGACTTAGACTTAGACAGTACTTTATTGATCCCTTGGGAAGACTCCCTCAGGAAATTAAGGTTACCAGCAGCTTAAAGGGCAAACAGTCTCAAGTTAGAATCAAATCAAGCAAAAATATACAAATAAATAAATTTAAAAAAAAAAAAAATACAAAAAATACAGATTAACTTGATGAAAGTAGGCACATTAAATCAGGTACAGATATGGCTTCTTCAACACCAACTTCAGGAGTATAAGCTGCCTGTGATGGAAGTCCTGAAAGGTCCATCAAGATGCATCCTTATCTAACTGCTAACAGGGTGAAACTACTCTGAAAAAACTGTGAAACTACTGTGAAAAATATGCTGAAATTAAGAAACTTATTTGCATGGCTGCAACTAATCTGATTACTAATATTGATCATTGACTAAATGTTTATGATTCAGTAGTGACTGCTAAAAAAGTCAAAATTCTAAATTATTGGTATCATCCTTTAACCTCAAGATAAAATGTGAAGTGAAAATAACTTTTTCCCCAGGTTAAGCCATCTGTGTCAGGCAAGGCAGCTGGAAGAGGCGGTACAGCGAAACCTGTTCCCCTCAGCGGATATGATCCTCAGCCTGAGCAGGGAATACGGCACGTATGCTGAGATGTGTGAGCTTACAGACAATACAGACACCAAGCAAGACAACCACAGACTTTCTGTCAAGATGAAAAGACAGGCGCTGCTTAACACCCATAACAAAGAGTACCTCAGATGGAAACACAGCCAACACACGCCGCTTCAACAGGATTTTGTTCAGGTCCGTGTTCCTAAAGTACAGATTTCTGGTGTCATTCGGATTAGCTTCTTGAAACAGTATCCTGTTCTGTTGTATTCCAGGAAAATATTAAATACGTTCAAGAAGAAAGCAAGCGACTGCAAAAAAGGGAAGCAGCAACATTAACGGTGGAACAGTCAGGAAGCACAGTAGCACACAACTACAGTATCCAGACTTTCAACTCAAACACCAGAGCCATGGAGCTGCTCCTCCAGGAGATGGCTCAGGTCTGAACAGCTCCCATAGATACACGTGTTGTGTGTATGTGTCACCAACACTATTAGGACAGATAAGTACACCTTTGACCTGCTTTTGGACAGAAACACATCTCTAGATTGAAGTGCCCAAAAAATTAGACATACTATATATGCAGAAGATTATTCTGGAATTGAATAGATACAGTACTGTCACTGTAATTTTCAAAACACATTGTGACATTAGTATATTGTCGAAAATGGAAAATCTGTTTACTTGAATTTTTGTACTCGGCATACTCCAGGTAATGAAAGGTTTAAACAATGAGAAATTACATTGAAGTTTTAATTGTATTCCAGACATTTTTTTTAAAGGATTGCGTTAATTTCAGGTGTACTAAGTCATGCAAAAATAATTAACCTTGCTGACCAGGTATAAGATATTTAGCTGTTTTTTCCACTTTACTGCCATCTGTTTGTTTCAATTTCTACAAGTTCAGTCAATTTCTTTGTTATTTGTCAATTAAAGGAACATCCTGTGTGTTTTATAGTGTTTTAACAGAGTTTACACAAAGAAATAGTCATATGACATTTCCAGACAAAGAAAAACAAGATATAATCAAACCTCTAAATGACACTTGTGAGATGATAATATTGTGAGAGTAAAAAGTGTCTCTTTTTGAATGTCTCAGATGCCCGGGCGGAGGTTCACCTACAGTCAGCAGTATCACAGTGCCACAGTGGAGCTGGCAGGTTTCAGCTCTAAAACTCACTCCACGTCTACTGCTCCTTCCACAGCCTGGGTCACTCATTTAAGAGACTCTAAAGGTCATGCTAAACGTCTACATGAGACCCGTGTGGAAGAGCTGAAGAAGGTGTGTCACTCTTCATCTCTCTGCTACTGTATATGGAGTTTCACAAGAGGGGGATTGTAATTTCATTTCTAGAATCTTAAATTAGGGATAAACATTTAGAAATTGTTCTCTTTCTGTGGCCATATTCACAGTGACCCAGTGTATACTGAATAGCATATAATAAAACATCACTAATAATATTATGCTTAGGGTTGCTACTGATTTATTGTTCCAGTGTATTTTCTGCCTCATCTCTGTTGGTATCTGATCATGTTGTGTGTTTTTGATAATACTACCATTTGTTTTGCTTCCAGCCATGGAGAGAGAATGTTTTACATGCCAACACATTGGAACCCACCCTTTCAAGGGACACATGGCCCTGGAACCAGCGGTCTGAGGACTTTCAGCTCTACAGAAAGCCTCCCCCATTCTTCAGCACAACTCCCATCACTATTCACCTGGCAGGTAACTGATTTAACAAGGGAATTAACAAAAAAAAATAGGAGTTTTCGCCAAAGAATAGGCCGATGAACCAACTGAAATTGATTTAAAAAAAACAATAAAATAAAAAAAAAAACACACACACAAACGTCCAAAGTAGTTTGGAAGACCTTCAGAAAGCCTAAAAAACATCAGGTGAAAAACACTTTTAAAGATTATAAAAAAATGTGCTTGCTTTAAAGCTAAATCAAGATAAATAGGGCTGGATTAATACCGTTAAACCTAATACAGAAAATTGGCTAAGAGAGGTAAAGAACACCCCAGCAAGTTTGACCTGTTTAGCAGTGTTGTTTCCTTCAAGGGTTTCTGAAACGTTACTGAACTCCCTACAGGAATGGGAATCTGCAACTTAATTAGTTTCACTCTCAATATACTTGAATCCTTGTCCCCAAATAAATATTAACGTGCTATAGAAATACTTATCAACATGTTGACATTTTTCAAGACTATATAAAGCGTTTCAATGGAAGAAAAGAAAAATAAACTCCACTATAAATATGACACACCTGCCTCCACAGACAAAATGAAAGGAATTGGACTCACAATTGGTAGTTTGATAAGTTATTAAACTTACTCTAACTCATCAAACTTGAAACTCAGCCAAAAATACATAGTAAAATTGAATTTCATATAACAGCATATACATGAATTCAGCTTCTCTTTGTCACTCAATGGGGGCTGTTTCATGGCTTTTGCATGAAGAATATACACATATATTGAAGAAAAGTGAGGATTACGTCTAATCTAGATTAATGGATCCACTGAATAGAGTTCCTGAGACAGAAATAAACATCTGTAAATTAAGTTATTTTAGAAAGATGAAAAATTTGCACTCTGAAGAGTTTTTAATAATCAAAACAGATATCTAAAACAAAGAAACAAACTTCAGAGATACCTACAGCGTAAAGATGGTTTTCTGTACATGTCTGAAGAATCCCTGTGATCAGTTTTATTTATATTACAGAAGCAGATGAAATCACAGTTAGAGTAATACAAGCATTAGTAACACTTGTGAAGTCAATTTATATACACACTTAATATCGTCAGTCGCCACTCAGACATGTTATTGCAAGTAAAGTAACACATGACACAACTGTATTTTTGTATGTTTTTACACACTATACAAATCTGAAGAAGCTGCTGAAGGGATGAGACACTGTCAGATAATGATTTTGTGCAAGCTTTCAATCCGAGCATTCCAAGCAAAACTTGCTTTTGTTTTATTACAAAAGCCTGGTGAATAATTTGTGGTGACTAAACAGAAGGCTGTAACCAACACCTATCAGAGCACTGAATTTTAGCATTTAAAGAACATCCAAAGTCTGCATATTTTCCTCCTACGGGGTAAGCTCTAAGCTCTCTCTCAGTGCTGAAGACCCATATTGACATGCTTTGATTGAAGGTCCAGATGGTGGAACTTCAGCCAGTAGAGGAAGAATTTCAGTCTCCCACACAACGCTGTAGAATCACTTTGGTGGTGGAGATATTTAATTAATATTAACGTACCCGTTAGTGCTGCTCATGATGTACTTTTTGACCCAATTTAGTCAAATGCCTGAAGAAGTGAAGAAGCCTAAGACTGAACAGTTTGTTGTTGATCTTCAGGTGAAACTCTGCAGCAGGAGCAGCTTCAGGCCGCCAGAGCTCAGTACAGCCGCTGGCTGAGCAAGCTGCTTCCCGTCAGCAGCCTACCAGACGTCAGCCCCGTCCCCCAGTTCAAGTGCCACATGAGAGGAAAGTCAGACAGGACTCAGGGTTTACTGAAAGATGAGCCAAAGAAGTACTCGCTACGGAAACCAGGCCTGATGCTGAAGGTACTGCCGCTCTGTACCTGGTTAAGTCAAACTTTTCAAAAGCTTTGCTATATTTCAGTTAAAAAAAGGACACTAAAACATATACATCAAATCACAATGCAATGGCATGCAAATCTTTTGACAACACAAATGTTGTCAGAGACATTTTGACCATTTCAATGAAGCAAACTTATTGAATTTGATGACAGCATGTCCCACAAAAGTTGAAAGTAGGTGGTACTGAGAGAATCTTATGTGCGATTGTGATTTACTTGAATCATTGTGAAAGTGAGTTTGTGTTTTTTGTGTTGCAGCCTTTTCCTCAGCTCTCTGTGATGAACTTGGAGGATAAAAAAGCAGAGGAAGAGGAGAGAGCAGCTGTGGCTGCACCCCCCCGCACTAGTGGCAGACTCAACAGCACCAGCTCTGTCCCCGGACCCCTGTCCAGCAAACACCACCGCCTGTGAGTCCAATTACACATTTTATTCACAAAAGACTGACACTGTGTTGATACAATACATCCTGCTAACTTTCAGTGACTTTAGTAAGCCGGAGTAGTTCCTGTACAGCCGACCTGCTTTGCCTCTGACCAATGAGGAGATGGCCATCTTCAGATTTCAAAAGTAGGCATCCAATATAAAGACACACACACCCACTGTTTGCAGCCGGGTCAAAAAACCTGCGACTCATAAATAAAAGCGGCTGATTAAATGCATGATGGTTTGTGACAGTTCACTGAGACTTCACCGTTAAAGAGCACTTTCGGTAGTTCCATCTGAGCAGAAGCCTGTTTTACCACGCCTCATAAAACACACCTACTGCTTTCACTAATCTCCTAATGAATTAATACCTTTTATAAATAAAGGCAAAAATCGTAACACAAGTGTAAAGACAAATCATTTAGATCCATGTGGTTTAGACAGATCTAAGGAGCCGGTTGTTTGGTCACGGGGGGGTTCAGTATGTTCTCTCCAGAGGGTGGGAGCAGATGTAGGCTCTGTTGTCTAAGACTGCCTTGGCGATTTTCTTGATGTTGGCATCATTGTTCTCTGGAGCATCTGGAACACATTGAAATGAGAATTACAAACAATCACTTTTATTTGTTTAACACAAATTGTTCATGTGTGTAGATCTTGTTGCCAGTGTGCTCTGATTAAATACAGGTGATAAAATAAGTGGAGAAATTCCACAACACTGCAAAATATTTCGTAGTAAAATGTAAAAAAAAGAAAGGCTGTTCTTAATTACAGTTTTGTGTACGCTTACGTTTTTGCAGCTGAACCATAAGGTAATTGTTCTTGAAGAAGGCCTCATTGCAGAATGTGTTTGTGAGCAGCACCTGGAAAATAATCAACAGGGGATGCATGAACAAAAATCCTCTAAAGCACAGCATCAGAAAATTAAACTAAACTACAAATGTTGTCATATTTGTCTCTCACGCGTGACGCCATCAATTTATCACATGTGCTTTGTAAGATTGCAAAGAGGAGAAACAAATGAGACCAGAGCTCAATTAGACGTGTGGAGAGGAAGGCCTACAGCAGCAGAGCAGAATAAAGCAGAATAAAACAGAATAAAGCAGAAGAAAAGCAGAATGGTGCTCATCTGAAACACAGAGTGTTGCAAAAGGCAGATTATTTTGCTTTACATGATGTGCCCATAAAGCATCTCTCTCTTGAGGTTTTCTTTCTGCTTTCATGTGCTAAGTTCCTGTTCTTGATTACTGACAGGACTGTCAGTCAACAGTTTGTTTACATCCTTCTCTTTTGAGGAATGAATTTATATCTTTAATAAAGACAGGGCAGCTAAACCTAAGGTGCAAAAAGGCTTTCTTAATGAGGACAATCATTTTAAAGATAGCACTTCTGACTCTGGATCATAGTCTTGCATCAAGATTTAAACATGAAGCTACTTTCCTTTTAGCTACAGTGTGACTGTAGTCCATTCTCTGACTACACATCCACATAGTGTAGATACAGAAAAAGACTTGATACTGATTTGTAAGTAATTGTATACAAATAAAAATAAAATCAAATAAATAAATGCATGTTTTTCTTAAACATAATATAATTTAATATACAGAACATGCCAACTTTGGTCTGAGAATTGATGACTATAAAAAAAAATGAAATGTGATTCTGGTTTAGGTCTCAACTGAGAGGCCCTCTGAATACATATTTTAAGTGTCTACTATCATTATGTCATTAAAGTTAAACTCACTGTTTATTTAATCAGAAAAAGCAAAGTGATGAGGCAGTCCTGCTGTGTTGCTCACTGATAGAAAACTAACAGTGGGTCTAAGAGATAGAAACACAAAAGCTCTACTTCTATACCTGACCAGATTCTAACCCACTCAAATGCACTAAAGGTAGGCTGTGTTCACACAGGCCTGTTCTATAATCGTAGTAGTTGGTGGTCAGCAGGATGTTGGTTGTGTGTGCTTACACAACTTTGTCATCAACACTTGAATGAGAGGTGACTTAGTCCTAACCCTCTGCATGTATTCAGCTGACCCAAATCAGAAATCTTTCTGACCAATCAGAAACTAGAATAACCAGCTGGGCTCCTTTCAGACTCAACAGCATAAAGGAATCATGAATGTTTTTTAAATGTGAGGCAACAGTGTCCCTTGTTGAGTAAGTTACCATAACAATAATTACAACAACAAGTGATCATGTGATTTTTCCCTACAGGATGCACCTGCTGTGGAATGCAGAGTTTAGATGTGAGCTGAACTGTACAGTAAAACACACACGTGTATGTCTGGGATTATTTCAAAAACCTGCTTTCAGAGGAAGTGTGTGTCTGCCGTGGTGTTAAAGGTGTTTCAGACACCTGTAGCTTTAAAGGCTGATGTCTGTGTGGACTCATAAAGGGCTCAGACTGTTCTTTATCTTCAGCCAGTCAGACTGAGACTTTCACGCGTCTGGTCTGGGTGACCGGTGAGCCGGATCCTTACCTCGTGGTCATGGTTCCGGAGGCCGATGCTGATGGAGCGGCTGGCTCTGGACAGAACGGCCGTCATGGCGTACAGGTTGATCAGAACGTCAGCCACTCTCTTCAGGATGAGCTGCTCGTCCACTATGGTCTGACCCCACAAGCAAACCAAACAGAAAAGGTTTTAAAATCACCTACAAATATAGCAGCCTCTCTCCCTGTTTCCTCACTCCAAATGGTGGATGCGGTCATTTTAGTTTTAAATAAAAAAAGAAAATCATTCAACATACAGTCTGTGTTTTAACCATAAATGTTATAAAACAAACTGTAGACCTATTTTCTTCCATGTCATCATCAGGAATCTTTCCTTTTGGTAAAAAAATGGCTGAGAAGGTGACCCAACAAAACTCTGAAGGAAGGCTGACCTTATTACATAATGAGCCTACCGTGTGTAAAGAAATGTGAGACTGGAGACAGAGAGATGGAAATATGTAGGCTTGTTGAAAAAAATAAACTGAGTAAATTAAGGGGAAAATATGAGACATAACGGAATCTATTAATACATTTAAAAAAAAAAAGATCAATAACAAAAAAAATACTGACATTAAAACTAATTGTTGGAAATAGAGAAAGAAAATATTAACTTGAAACATGATAGTAATAAATTCAAGATTACAGAGTATGGTTGAATAAGTCACTTAAATTATAAACCAAGTTGTAAAGTCAATAAATTGGCTTTTGTAAACAAAGATGCATCTTTATATGAGGAAAATACTTTTTCTGCATTTAATCCTTCAGTTGGTGCAGTTTTAGCATATTGTCTCATTTATTGAGAGGTTTATGTATCGCTGTCCTGCATAGGACCCAATGTGCCCCAATAACCATTTAAATGGACCATTAACCGTGCTCTTCTTCTCAGGAAAGAATTCTGTTAAAAACTTAAACGCTAACAAAATAATCAGTTAATCATTACTTGTCATTATATACATGCTTTAGACAAATCCCCATTACAAATCAGGCATGGTGTTCTCCCCTCTCAACTTTACTGAAATAAATACCAAAGTGTGAGCTTTTTATAAAGCAGTCAAGCACTTAATAAATATTTAAGCCAAAATGATGTGGGTCTAAAAAAGGTTTCTAAAGGTTTGACAGTTGTGACAGTCAAAATAATGAAAGGGGGGGGGGGGGGGATTCCTGGAGCAGGTGCCTAACAGTCCTCATCATATTCATTGTGAAGGAACGTGAGCATTCAGCCATTTAAGTCAAAATGGTAAATCTGTTCAAAGGAAGTGAAAAGGTTCCAGCTGCTTACGTTACCTTTCCATATCTGTACAGCAGGCTCTCCACGGTCGACCCGAAGAGGTTGACATTCTGCTCCAGCTTCTTTGCACTTTCCTTTAAAAAGAAACAGAGAAAAGCTGATTCTACTGAATCTATGGAAAATGCTGAATTTTGACCACTTTTCTTACTTCCAGGCTGGGATGCACCACTCCATCCTTCCCTGTCAGGCCCAGATCCACTGAAGCTCCCAGGGAGGACTTCAGTTTTTTGCCCACCATGCTCATTGCTAGAGTTATGTTCCCACTCTTCATCTCCCTGAGGGCAAAGTAAAGGACGGCTGAGAGAGGAGAGCAAAGGCCCTGCAAGCTGCCAAACTAAATGAGTTATGTATGAGTATGTAAGGCCAAAATAAACTTAAATGCAATCTTCTAAAAGGTTATAAGTGACCACTAGTGATTAGCTCTTTATCAATAATAAGCCACATTTCACATCCGGTGCTGTGCCAACTCTAGTCATCTTCTTTTAAGCTTGCCCTTAATTGATATGCAGGTTTTAGATGTACAGCTTAAATTAAAACAACCACGAAAACCAAAATTCATCATTTATCACACATTACTGTATGTGCTACTTTAAATGTGGCCCCCAACACATCTTTCATAGCAACATACACCAGAAGAACATACTTGATTTTCCCTGTGAGCACTTTTCCAGCGTACTGCATTCCAGTGAGAGCAACATACATCCTCAGGATTTCATTTGTCCCCTATACAGAAAAAAAACAAAAGGGTTTCGTCTTTGTGGTAAGGGAGAATATATTATTGGTATATAATTTCATTTAAAGTAATTTTAACACGAGGATCTACTTAGAACAACTATTTAAAACTGTATAGTTTGTTCTTAAAAAATACCATTGAAAAAAAAAAGAATAACAGTTTGCCACATCATCTAGGAGCCCTGATCCCCAAATTAACAGCTCCATCTGGCAGAGGCTTTAAGAACTGCAAAACTAAAGTCTTTCACATTATTCTCTTATCAGTGAACCTTGAATCCACCTCCAATTTCACTGTAAAAACCATGTTAGCATCTGGGAGGTTTGCAGTGTGTTAAAGCAAGAGAAATATAAAGAAAGAAAAGAACAGAGAGCCAGAGTCTCCCTTAAAAGACACGTATGCATGTCTTTGTCTCTGATCACATGATTAACACGTGCCTAAGACCCAAATACCTCAAAGATGGGCAGGATGCGGCAGTCCCTGACGTAGCGCTCAAAAGGATAGTTCTTGGTGTAGCCCAGGCCCCCCAGGACCTGCAGGGCCTCGCTGACACAGACCCAGCCCGCCTCTGAGCTGAACACCTGAGCAGCAGAGAGACCGCTCAGCCGTAGGCCTTTCTCTCAGCGGCCTGATGTGAGCACAAACCAAACACCAGCTCATGCTACCTTGACCATGGCCGCCTCCAGAGAACAATCTGGAACTCCCGGTCTGTCCATCATTCCTGCCGTCATGTATGCCATACTCTCCATCACAAAGGCGCTCTGCGCCATCAATGCAAACTTCTCCTGCAGGAAGAGGACACCCAGAATATTCAGTCAGGTTAGATGAGAGAGAAAGGTAGCTCTGAATCCCAGAGTAAGACACAACCCAGACCTGGATCATTCCAAATTCACTCAGGTTCTTGTTAAACTGCTTCCTGGTTGAAGCGTACTCTGAGGTAAGCTCTAAAAAGAGAGAAAAAGGATAGTAAACAAAAGAAAACCTAAACATGAGCTGCATATTATATTAGAAAAATAAAACAATAAAAACCTATGAGTTTCTTAATCATTCCAGCGGATGAGCTGCCCATGCTGAACCTGCCAGAGTTCAGGATGTTCATGGCGATCTGTCCAGCACAAAGCACAGGTTACCCCAGCCCACACATCCACTCAGGCACAGCCGTTTGTTTCAAAAAGGGATTCAACTTACCTTGAATCCACCTCCAATTTCTCCTATTACGTTTTCAACCGGCACAGGAACGTTGTCAAACGCCACCTCACAAGCTGAAAAGATAAAAGAGCATAACATTCAACTGACAGTCCATAAAAGACCACGTACAGCATCATCTGTGTACTGAACATTAGGCCTACTATTGGAGCCCCTGATGCCCAGTTTGTCCTCAGGCTTGCCGCTGGTGATGCCCCCGAAAGCCCTCTCAACGATGAAAGCAGAAATCTTGTCCTTCTTCACGCCGTCTACTTCCACCTCTGTCCGGGCAAACACCGTCATCACGTCCGCAAAGCCTCCGTTTGAGATCCAGATCTGACAAACAAACAGGAGGGCGTTCTTCCAAACTCATGCTGGAGCACAGGAAATGTGTGTGTGTGTGTGGGTGGGGGGGGGGGGGGGGGTTCTGCAGCAGCTGGATCCCGCTCACCTTTGAGCCGTTTATCAGGTAGTGCTTCCCGTCCTCAGACAGGGTTGCGCGGGTCTGAATAGAAGCTGCGTCACTTCCACTGAAACAACAAAATACAGCGAGGTTCACTTCACCATAGTCTGAGAAACTATTAGAAATCATATTCTGAATGGTTTGAAGAGGTCAGCAAAGGTCCCGCTGGGGTTTTTCTCCAGACACACGGTGGTTCTGGAGGTTGTGGAAGGTTCTAGAGACTACTAGTAGGACCTGGGATGTAAGACAAGGTGCTGTTCATACTCTAGTCATGTATCTTTTTTATATATTGCTAAGAAAATTAGATAGATGCAATGACTCCTTAAAGCTTGTGGAAATGGAAAACAATATATGTAATTGATCTAAGTTTGAAAAAAGAGAAAGCAGTATGCTTATTTGTATCGTCCTTTCTTTAAGGAGTCCCCAGAAACAGTTCTGCTGGCTTCTTAAAGAGCATCCCAAAGCTCCTCCTGGGATGTTGGCAGACTTTTGTTCCGTTCTCTCAGATGGTCCCACACTGCCTCAATAACGTTGAGGTCCCAGCTCTAGAGGGGATTCATCCCTTCATCACACTGACCGCCACTGATTTCAGTCCTCTTTTTGTGTCATTTGGCATAGCTCATCCATGTTTTCTTTCCCTGAGAATGGCTCCCTGACAGCTACCCTTCCATTCAGAATATTTCAGATGAGGCTTGGGCCAACAACAGATGGATCTGTTGAGGTACCCTCTCAGGTCAGTCCTGCGTCAGCCCCCCCCCCCCCCCAGTTTCTTACATACATCATTTTCAGATCATGTCCACCTGCTGTAGTTTTAGGGCAGCAGGCTAACCTGCTTCCTTGGTAATAAAATTCAAACTGAGCCATTACTTGTATATGCACCAACAAAATGGTTGGCCTTCGCCACAGATATCCAAAAGTATGTATGTAGAAAAGTGTAGATGGCACTGGTTAACCAAGGAAATAGATGTAATTTTAATGCTAGCATCAAAAGTTAATTTTAATAATAAATAATATTGATGACAGTAGCAACACTGTTATTAAACATATCATGGCTCTGTTATATTTGACTATTCTAAAGCTGCCGTGGTTAACAACAATGTCCACACAATGCTTCAGTAACGGTATGCAGTTATACAATGAAACCACTAATAAAATAATCCTGAATCTTGAGCCTCTACTGACAATACAAACTTGAGGGACAATGGGCCTAAAATACTGAAAATAAGTCCAAATAGAACCAATGTCCAAAGAAAAACACATTTCCCTCTGAATATGCGTGTGCAAAGTTTCAGAAGCGTTGAAACATCAATAAAACATAAAAATGTATATTTATCATATTTACTTATTTATAAGGAAATATGTTTGAAGTGGTCTGGGGTAAAAACATGTCATTTTGAGTAGTAATGAGTATAAAACAGGTTTCCACTGATATGATGCGTGTGTTAGTGTGTTTACCTCCCCGGCTCTGTCAGACAGAAAGCAGCCACCTGTTCTCCTGACGCCAGTTTGGGCAGATACTTCTGCTTCTGAGCTTCGTTCCCTGCCATCAGAATCCCCTGAAACCACATCAAAGTTTCATTTATTACCTCCGTTTTCCCACATAACAGATGGGCACAGGTTTATTAGTGTTAGATGTTGGAGTGCAACTATTACCTTGAGCCCAATCGCTTGATGTGCAGCCAGAGTTACAGCAATGGAGCCGTCTAAAGCGATGATCTCATTCAGACGAGCATACATGGTGTTGGACAGTCCCAGACCACCTGTATTTAAAAGCAAAAAGAAGAGATGCTGTCATCACTTTGTGGTTGAGACACACTCTAGAAAACTCATTCTCTCCTTATGTGGAGTCAGCTTCTACAGTAAGTGCATAAACAGTGGTGATTCCATTATTTGGCAAAGAAATAGTGATGGTGTACTGTGGTTTCTGTCAGCCAATCAGAGGGGCCGTCATGCTGGCGGTGGCCAGATTCTGCTACATGAATCACTCTGAATGTGTGTCAAACATGAATGCCAATAAACTTTTAATAAAACATAATACAATTTTAAAGTTTGCACATGTTAGTGCAGGTGTCTCTTATGTGAATATGAATATGAATTATATTTTAATATGAAGCCTGAGGCTCGAAATGACAAACATTTCTCTAACCATACTCCTCAGGAACCATAATTCCAAACAGCCCAAGCTCTTTCAACCCGTTCAGAGTCTCTGGAGGGATTTTGGCTTCTTGATCAATCTTTGCTGAGTCAACTGTAAAAAAAAGAAAAAAGAAAATCAATTTTATGAGGTCAACAAGAAGCAACAGAGAAACAAATGAAATGATGCACAGCTCCACTATGTTCTCTCTCACCTTCTTCACTGAAGAACTTCTCCACTGGTGCCACAAACTGCTTGATCTCCTCAAGTTCTTCATTTCCAATTTCTGGATAAGGGAAGACCTCAGACTGGAGAAACACAACAGGATCATTTAGGAGAAAATAGTTAACCATGTTCAACATTGTGGGTGATTTGGGTAAGGCTTCTGAAGGTGCTTAATAGTCCACATGCATCTTTCAACTAATTCTAAAGACATATATAGAAAAAGTAATATTGCATGTTGGTGTTAAAGTTCAGGCATGGCAACAGAAACACAACAACAACGCAATGGGGAGAAGCGGGGTCACCCTGGACGGTCCCCAGTCCATCGCAGAGACACACAGAGACACACAAGGACCAACAACCACACACAGTCACACTAAGGGCAGTTTGGAATCCAATCAACCTAACATGCAGGTTTTTGGACGGGGGGGGAGAGAAACACTACACAAAAAAGAAACCCTGTGGTCTGGGGACCACCAGGACCGCAGGGTTTCTTTCTTGTCTTTTTTTCTGTGGACGTTCGTCGCACGCAGATGTGCACGCGGGGTCGTGTCAGAAGGGCAGTGCGGGATTTGTGTCCCTCTTCCCCGCATCTGCTCCCTGTAAACCTGTACACCTTTAAACCTGTACACCTGTACACCTGTACACCTGTAAACCTGTAAACCTGTACACCTGTAAACCTGTAAACCTCTAAACCTGTAAACCTGTACACCGGTTCTGGCTGTACGCGGTTAACAGCCAGTAGTGTTAGAGAAAGTTTAGTGAATATTCAGATGACATATGATAGGAAAGTCGTAACTGAAACGAAAAGCAGACCTGTTCCAACATTCACCATTAGAGGATTCTGAAGTTATTACCTTGTTCACCTGACCGAGGAACAAATCCTTGGCATACGCAAGATTTCTTGAGTGAGTTTGAAAACTCTTCCGCTGCTGAAGATTGGGGGCTTTTTTGCTAACATGCCTGAGATGAGAGGGAAGCAGCTGTTTCCCGATGGGAAAGGTTCTGGACAAAACAAGAAACCTGTTCACACTCATCTTTCTTTCCTCCTCCAAAGCCGCTTCAGTATGAAGTCTTCGGATCTGTTACCAAACACTGCCGGGACACCTTTCACCCGTTTCTGGCGCATGCTGATGACGTAGCAGATATGAGTTCAATGCACCTCGGAAAAAATAGCTTTCAAGCATAATTATCTATGAAGAATTATTCGGCTGATTTTGGCGGCATAGTTATAACAAAGATACAAACTGTAAAAACCTTTTTGAAAACCCCTTTTCCGAAATATAGTTCTCACTAAAACAAACATTTTGAAATGACTAGTCGGCGTACAATTCCTTAGCTATTCTTGAAAAAAATATTGTAAGGATATTAACGTCGTTAACCCCAAACAGAAAAAATAAGTCAAAGATAATGCTGACCGTGAACGTTAGTAAATTTTCAATGTAAAGCGGATTCGAAAACTACACAACTAACCACAAGATGCCAGCATCGTCTCGCCACGAGATGTCACAATATGCAACAGCTTTTGAAGAAGGAAGTCGTTGAAACATCATCTTCAGGAAAACAATTCCTAGTGTTTAAAAAAAATCTATATATGTATTTAAATGAATTTAAATTTAAATGTACAAATCGCTGGTTTGTTTACATAAATCAAACTAACGAACCCCGCTATCCTGCTAATCCCGCCAGCCTCTCTGACGTCATCCCGCTGACACTGAGGATGTGACCCTGAGAACTTGAATCTATTTTTAGTTCCAACCTCAGGGGCCAGACAGACAAACAGGGCTGGCTGTCCCTCAGACCACCTGCCACAGTCCGGCGGTGTTCTGCTGGGCTGAGCTTCATCAGCAGTGACAGGTTTTAGTTTAGTTTAGTCTGAGTACTACAGTAGAATCCCTGCTGGTGTCTGTGGGGAAAAGAGGAACAGAGACATGTACGTTCACATACAGGCTGCTGCACATCTCCTGTCCTAGCACTGTTTGTGAGGTTTGGGGGAGTTAAAAGCGACTCTCCTTATATATAGGAAGGTCAGTTTAGCTGTCATAAAGGAAAACAACACAACCCCCTGAGGGAATACCCCAACACAATCCCAGTACGATGTGTTTGTGCTCAGTATGCAGCTAAAAATAAAGTAGAGAGAATTAAAAAACAGATTATGTCACCAGGGTTATCTTAGACTATCCTTTTAAAATCCAAAGTTTACGCCAAAATTAAACATTTTTTCACTGTCCACGCAACAAAATACCCTTTTGAAGGCCACAAACCTGAAAGTGCCCTGAAAGTTCTAAACTATGGTCTGACAAGAGATTCAACCTAATCGTTAGATTTAAGTCAGGGTTGGTCAACTCTGATTTTCAAGGGCTGCTGTCCTTCAGGTTTTAGATGTTTCCCTGTTTCAACACGCCTGATCTACATGAAATGGTCTATGTAATCTAAATCACATCTACTCATTTCAGTGTAGCACCTATAATGTACACAAACACCAGTCAATTAAAACATTCATCTTGATAAGAGTGAAAAGATTGATATATTCTCTGTTTCTATTTTTGGTATTTTTTTGGTCAAATTGTTAGGTTGCAATTTTGATCCTTTTTCAGTGTAGTGGAGTTTGGTTGGTGTTTTAGGCGTTTGTCTGCAGTTGGATGTATGTTGAATCTGCTACTATGTGTTGTCCTGTCTCTACCTCCTGCACCCGCTATACTTCCCATACCACCTACCAGGGTATGAATCGCTTCTTTTGTCTTTGCCTCTCAACTCTACCCCCTACTTGAACCAGGGTGTGAAGAATGACCCTTTAAATCGCCCTTGATTTATATTTTCTTAAGGGGAAAAACCTAGTACAAGTAATTTGCAATCCTTACCACCTTTTTAATTTTTATTATCTAGCATGAAACATTTACAATTGTACCCACCCATGTAACAGAGGAACAGGGGGTCCTGGAACAGAATGAAGTTTAGGTCTGTGACCCGAACAGTCACATCAGGAAATATAAAATGGGATGCCATCAAGAAGGAAGACTGATGCAGTCCTGGTTTACAATATATCATTTTATTTTGCCATCTCAACATTGTCACAGTACTAGTTTAACATCAAGAGGGTTTTGTCTACTCAAAAACAGAAATCATAATAAAATAAGAACACTCCTCCTTTCCCTTAGAGTTTAAAAGTGGACTGTGAGCATGAGAAAGGTCAGAAGCCTGATAACCACGTAACAGCTTTTCATTTCTACATCCTATGATAATTCAGTCCTGTCAGAGGCCGAGAGAAGCAGTTAGATGATTATGTAAATGTAAGGGGGGGGGGGGGGCAGGAATGCACCTTCATTTGAATTATAAATAGTAATTACAACTAATAATAATAATAATAATTTACAGACTATTTACATATGCGTATTATTCTAAACTACTGACCTACCCTAAAATATGTCCTCTATTTTCATCCTCCTTTATCTAATCAAGTTACATCAGATCCCCCAAGGAGGATTTGCTATTTACATTTAGTATACAGCCGTGTTGTTATAGTGTGCAACAGAAACAGAGGCGCATGCAAAAGTAGAATGGATCCTGTGTCTAAAGAAAACACACACAAGCAGGCCCGAATCACGTAAATGTAAACAAACAACATTCAAATATAATGAAATATGAGAAATATTGAAAATTTGGGGGGTCTCGTCAAACAAAAACAACCAAACAAACAAACAAACAAAAAAACAGTAGGAAAATGAAAAAACAAAAGGAACAGGAAAAAAAAAAGGTAGGCATCAATGGCATGCAACAAAGCCCCTCACATGGAGTTGGGACAGGTTTTCCATTACTTTTCTGTTTTGTGAGAGCTGTGAAAGTGTGACTTAAAAATAGATGAGGTCAGTCCTACCTGATGTGAAGCTGCTGTCTACACCATTATTCCATAACAATTTAGTGATGGGTCAAAGGTGGTGGGGTGATTAGATTTGGTCCTTCATTTGTTAGTTATTAATCTAATTTAAACTGTAATAACACCATGTTGGCACTTTCATGACTCCACAGAACATTACATACGCAGAATAGAACTATGAGAAAGCACACTATTTAACAGATTGTGTGCAGACATTAGCCTATAGGACACTGAATACAGAAACACTTGTTTAAAACTGCTGCTGTTGCTCTTTCTGTCAAGGTTTTTGGAAAAGTTAGCACTCTAAAAATGATTTTATAATAATAATTTTAAAACTGGTAATACGCAGTCAAGATGAGCAACACTGGGTTGGCCGTACATTAGTCCTGCTCATGGTCAGTGCTTAAGCTGGTTTCCAGAGCTTTATCTTAAAATAGCCTGACAACGAATTCATTGATTTGTCTCTTTGTCTAATTTGTGATTTGTCTGAACTATTACACAAAGCCTGATTGACATGATACAATGCTTATGCTGATATTTGTGTAGGACTTTTTGATTTGTAATGTAACCAACAGCTCTCAATTTGGAGTGTGGTAAATGTGATGGTGCTTGTATACAGGTCATGATTTAACCATCACAACCATTGCACAGAAGCCAGGGCAAACTATTGAGGAGTTGTCATAATGAACACTATTCATAGCAACCCAGGACTCCAGAGAATTATAATGGGATGTTGCATTACTTTAAACCAGACTTTTATGTCCCTGACACTGTGAGATATGAGAGGACTTCAGTTAAACTATCCTAATAAGTGCATGTTCAGTGCCCGATGAGGCTTATGTTGCTTGTATGTCATTGTGGTTTCGGGGAAATTAAACATAGCCAAAAGTTATCCTAGTGACTAGGTTGCAACAGCTCTACTTCTGGTCTGAATTTTCACACCGTACTTTGAACTTGAATAAAACAGCTGAAGCTAAATTCAATCCCATTGGAAAATACACAATCAGCATTCAAATACACTCCACAAATTGCAAATAACCATATCTGTTCGAGAAATAGTGCCAGTCCAGGAAATATTTATTCAATGTTACTGATATTATTATTAAAAAGGGAAATGCTAATAGTTTATTTCCTTATTTATAATTCTGATGAGTTATTGCTTGTGAAACCTGTGGGAAAGGGAGAATCACCACAAATGTTGAACATATAAGACAGAAGAAATACTCAAAAGTACTCATCCAGTAAATACAGCTTGACAACAGTAAGGAACGTCAATGGCAGAAGCAATGTGAAAAAAAGGAGAGTTCCATTTTAAATACTGACTTCATTTTAATTTCCAGACGATAGAGAGCAGCTCTCATTGTGGCTTCATTAAAAATAAAAACTTTTTGTTGGCAAATGACCTTCCCTTGCAGCTCTTATAGGATCCAGGTTTAACTACTGTACTTTACTGACTGAGTTGTGCGTGAATCAGGACATAACTCTGACACCGTTATTGTCCGTAATGACACAAATACATTAATTCAATGGTAATTTAAGAAGTTCCACCTATTCTATCTTTTTTTTTTCTCAATAAGTATCAGTTGCAACTCTGATACAGTTTGGGGATATGCTGGTTTGAAAATAGCCGAGAGATACGTTGTTACATGCATTTAATTCTTGTTACATTCTGTTTCAGAGTGGAGGGCCTACTACTCTTCACCAGAACACAGAGGAGGAAACGACAGAGGACACAACGGGGGAAACAAAAAGAAAATCAAACAGACATCCATTAGATTGCAAATGTTCTCAGACAAAAAAGTAAATACATATTGCACATGTAAAAAAAAAAAAAATCTCATAGTCTTAAAGCAAAGAAAAGCTGACTTCTGCTGATATTAACTAAGTTAAACAAGTGCTGCGTCATTACCTCCAGCAGGAAGTCTGCTGACGTTCCCCAGCCTCCTCCTCCTTCTGTATGTGTACTACACACTGTGTGCAGGGGTAACCAGCCATCCCATAATATGTCTGACACATGATTGATATGAAACTCCTTTTTGTGGCGAGAAAAGCTTAACACGAAATGATAAACAGTCATTTTCTTTTCTATCATGTATGTGGATGCAGGGTGAGGCTGGACACAGCAGTGGAGAGCCTCCATGTCCAGACAGGCCTCTCTCTGCTGCACATGTTGGACACACTCATGTAGTTTTCATGCAAAAACAACTAAACTCTCCTCCTATTCCTGCATAAAGGACTTGAAGAAACTGTTTGTGGTGCAACTATTACCTCGTAGTCATTTAGTTTAGTGGACTTTAAAAAAAAAATTCAAAAAAATGAAATGAGGGCAGGATCACGGCCAGATCTTAAGAAAAAACATTCAGGAGAATGTGTTTGCTCTGCAGCTCACTCTGGCTTCTCGTTTCCAGAGCAAGAGGAGAAACTCCAAGCCAAAGAGAAGTGCAGCGATTAGACTGTGTGCAACAGCCCGGAACAATCTTTATCTGAGGTCTAACTCAAAGGCAACCATTACAGAAGGACTCCGGATGACCGTCTAGTTCAGAGCAGCTCTCATTGTTTTTCCCTTAACTGCTGTGTGCCCCCGACGTGTGAATATAATACTGAGAGTTTGATTTGTTCGGTAATAATCTGAACAGTAACAGCTGATATTATCACTTTACTAAATATTAAGCACAACATACACTAAGCAGTTTGTGACTAAACCAGTAATTACTTCTAGAATTGGCACATTTATGGTTGCTACCAGAGGAATCACAGTGCTACATTAGATAACCAGCAGCTGCTGAGGCTGACTGTGAGTGAGTTCAGCCCCCCCCCCCCCCCCCTGACTACATGACTTTGTGTTGCTATTTACCTCAGTAAAACACTGGGATGTGTGATGGTTCTAATCTGAATAATGAGCGGAGGAGAACAGTATCGGTGGTCTTTGTGCGTGCTCTTAAGCTGAAGTCTGTTGCCCGTGTTATGAGCCAAAACCAAAAGAAAGGACTGATCAGAGAAAGACCTCAGTGGTCTGACGCTGAGAGAAGCTCAGGCTGCAGATCCAGCTCCAGAG